CTATCAAAAGTAGTAATATTTTAGAAATTAAAGAAACATTACTACTACAGTATGAATATCGACGCCGATTAATCCAATGACGTGACATGACCATTGACGTCACATTTCGTTTCACGTTTTGTAAGTTTGAATTTCCCTCTCTAATTTTTCACTTTCTATATATAATATTTTATGGGTTTAAATGATAACTAAATTTAAAAAAATACATTTTAAGTATAATGTAAAGACAATAAAGAATCTAGAAAAAATATTTAAGACAAATTTAAATTTTATGCATATTCCCTATTATAAACATAATTTCTCTGATGTTACATAACACTATGCTTGTAAAAAAGCGTGTTCAAAAGTAATTCAGTAAGAGTCAGTGAATGTTTATGCTACAGTAAAAAATAAAAATACACCTTGTGAGTTTACGTGGCACACGTCAGCCATTGACAGGATTGTTGTCTACATTTTTAGAGATCATTACAACACAGATCAGATCTTGTCATTAGTTGAAGAACCCAATAAAAAGATGTTACACAAATAGAATCATCACCTTTGGATAATAATATAATTTAACTAGGAATATTACACAAAACACATAATAAGTATATTATACAAATGAAAAAACTCTACATATTATTAAGACAAAGCAAAGACAATTAAAGGTACTTCAATAACTCTTACGGTACATGTTAAATAGCGTTAATGACAGTTTGACGCACCAAAAACAAAGTTTTATTACTTGACTGTTGTTATAAACTAGAACAAATTATCAAACAAAGTGAGTAAACAAGAAATAACAAGATAATTTTACCGTAACTGTGGTCCAATAAACTACCAAACATTGAAAATAACTTTAAAACAAAGTTGGGAGCTATTAATGTTCACTATTTTCTCTTGGCACTTGGTTTCATTTGATGGTATTTCTTTATTGGCTAAAGGTTTAAGAGATAAAATTGAATTACTGCTTCATGGGAAAGTGGATAGTGTGTGTGTGTGATAGTGTTAACGTTACCTTGTATCCAGTATACAGCAGCCGCATTCTCTATCACTCGCACTATGGTGCGTACTCCGAGGAATTGTTTCACCTCAGTGTACCATCCTCAGCTTTTTGTCATCCTTCGACGCAACAAAACCTTAATCCCCATCACTGAGAATATTGTCACAACGCTGTACAACAACATTTTTGCCTCGCATTATCAGTCTGCGTTTCCGGACCGTTACGACCTTCAAGAATAGAGACAACTCCCACCTCGAAGGTCATCAATGCACTTGTGAATCTTCAGTTACGGGTGTCCACTGGCGGACGGAGTCACCATCAGATGATCTTTCCGCTAGCTTGCAGAGGGGGTAAGCTAGCATAAAGATCATAAAAATAGTGAATGCTGTGTACTATATAAGTCAAAGCTTAAAATAGTATGTTCAGGGTTAAAACGTCTGCAGCCTTTACTCAACATTTACTTTGGCCTGATAGGATATATGTAGGATACGAAACGTTCGTAGGATACGAAAATATTGTTATCATGACCAAGTAGTTATCATGATCAAGTTAAACAAATAACAGTAATTTTAATGTAAACCTTTTTTTTATGTGTGGAAACCCCCTCGGGCCGGGGTTTCCGGCGGGGTGGTGTGTCGGGATCGGACCGACTAAAACCACACGGTGTGCCACTCTGCGACTGTAATGGGAGGGATCCGGGAACTGCTGGTGGCGGACGATGCGCGCAGAGAGTACCCTCTCGAACAATTTACCCGCCTCGTCCAGCATATGACGGGCCTGTAGGCCGTGACCGAATCGGTGTGCCGTCCCGGCGTTCTTCTTCTTGCTCTAATTTTAATGTAAGCCTTTTTAACGTCCCACTTTTGCTGCCATATTTAGACGGACTAATAGTGTGATTCTACTGATAAAAGTAGTCTATCAACCTTTTTGAATACGATTCGATTTCGAATAATTTAAAAAAAACATGAAATAAAGATAGTTTGAATTTGAGTTTATGTGTAATAGTAGAATTTTTCATTGAAAAAAAAAACAGAAAACATTTTCATATTATTTTATTGAGTCACATGTATTAAAAACTGCTTTTCGCATCATGATTCCTTCGGATAACCGAAAATTTAACAATCTTGTGACGCTGTACATTTTAAATTCATTACATTTCATAAAATGAGCAAATTTTATTACATAAATACAACCAGTCCTTGAAGTTATGCTATAAAGTAAAGAACAATGGCAGAAACATATTTACCTAAAATTTAAGCGTTTAAAAAATCGAGTCACAGTAAACTTAATCAAATTTTTTTCTATGATTTATCATTACACCACCATGTGTTGTATAAGTCTTATAAGAGATAAGATATTTTTGAAGATTTTATTTGACCTAAGTACGTAATGTCAGATTCGCCATCACGTATAACTGACTAGGGATGCGTGGTGGCAATATTATATTATGGAACAATTTATCGATAATCGATTCTTATAGCTTTGGCTGAAATATTTACCGAAGGTTCACTATTATGATTATGAATTTGCTTCTGCCCACGTCGGTAAAAATTTCGAAATACGTCGCCATTATAAGGGGTTGTGAGTGGTTGGGGGAGGGGGGGGAAAGGGGCCGGATCCCCCCCTCACCATTTTCACCCGCCGGAAATACTTGGTTCCCTTAGAAAAAATAAAAACAGAAATTTGTACAAAAAAAATTATTCCACTTTATAAACATGTTTTATCGCTTTTAATTATTCCATGAATGGATCTTTCCTGTATTTTACGTTATTTCGCGCCACAAATATTCAAAAATAACATCCTCAATACCGAGAACCGAAAGGCCATCAATATGGCGACCTATAACAAAAAGAAATATATATATAAAAACTGGCTTGAATTATGAGTCGACGGAGCCCCGCTACGCGGGGCTCCTATTTCTGGGTGGTTTAAAAAAAAATAACCACGATGGCTAAGGCGGGAGCTTCGCTGCGCTGCGCTCCCGCCTTAGCCATCGAACCTAACCCAATGAAGTCTGATTGTGCCAACTCGGAGTAATAGATTGCTATTAATTACCTAAGAATTATGTCCTGTTCTTATACATTTCCTATAAGAAATAATATATAAAATATAATTACCTCGATTGTATTTTCTTTTACCGAATATAGATTTATCGATCTGGACTATTTTTCCGGGGCCACCAATCTTTCCAACTACTTCTTTTTTGTCAATTTGGTATGCCACAATGGTTTCTCGGCAATAATTATACCAGTCACATAATATGTGACTGGTATAATTATGGTGACCCGGCCCAGGCACTTTCAAAATTTTAGCCAAGTCGTAGAAAAAACACAAATCGATACGGAAGAACACATTCACTATTCGAGTATAATAATACTCGAAAGCAAAGGAATGACGCACAAATTTGACATTAGCTGTCAATATCATCCATCCAAGATGCGTTTCGTTTCACGTTTTTCACATAAAACCTAAAAATTACATTTGAAAAACTATACTAAAGCAAAAAAATTACGTTCCGTTTTGCATAATTGCAAGAGTATTTAAGAATTTTCGAAAATTGTTTAAAAATATTTAGACGCAACTCCGGCAGCCAAAATTACTGTGGGGGGATTAAGACTAACTCCCTTAAGCCCCCTACACCACCAATACCCTCAAATTCAGGCGACTCGTTTTAAAATCCAACCCCCCACGTCTTCACTCGTACGGTAGAGTGACTGAATCAACATAATTAGAAATGATTTAAAATATTTTTGACTCTCTTTAAACGATTTTAAACACACTAAAGAAATAGAATACAGTTATGTTATTTTCCACTACACAGTGTGATGAGAAAAATACATTGTCATTGATAACGGCACATAAATAGACATACATCGATATTTTCAAAATGTCGATACGTCGTCGTTTAGTACATATCTCTTAATCTGTGGTTTAGATCCTGTCAAGTGCCGGACTCACCACGTTTGTTATTTTATTTTTGTTTAATTTAGTGTTAAACTCGAATAGATGTTATGCTTTTATTTTTTTTATTTCATATACTGTAATAATAATGAAAATAATATTTTCGGCTATCTGACACACAACGCCATCTAGTTTCAAACAAAACATTAACAATATGTTAGTACTTAACCTCGAAACATTCAAAATCCAATATCTTTTTTCCTAGACTTCTTCCGCAAGTAATTTTGATATGAGAATGGTCAAGAATAAATTCTCAAGTGTTAAGGATTTTTTGATATTTAAACGCTAACATTTCAGTTCAAATAAAATTATGTATGGGGACCTGCCATTGTCCTTTAAACAAATATTTGATTGGGATTGTTTTCATCAAATATATTATATTTTGTTATGGTGTCGTTTTCACAACATTATTCTTTCAAACATTTTCTATTTTTTTTTTGTAAAGTCTTTTAAAATTTGCGATGATATGATGATACTCTTCATACCTAAAGGGTAGTGCTATCAAGTATTACTTAATAAAATAAAATAATAATAAAACTCAATTAATACCTTGAGGACTGGTCAATTCAATGTTATAAGTCAAATAATTTTTGGTTGTGAACCTAATTCCAATTGTTCAAATGTAATTATTATTATTTTGAATAGTCTAGTGCATTCCAAAAAGAAATACCTTAACATTAATTCTGAAATATTTTTAATTTATTTTTATTTACAATGATAAGTTACTTATCTATTTAATTCTATAATAGCTTAGAGCCTTCCTTCTTTTCCCTTAACTAGTAGGTATCTAACTAATCATTAGAACAATAAACTTTATTAATTTCCTAGTATTATTACTTAATAATTGTTCATCAGTCATTGTCTTAATTTTTAACTGCTAGAACTCTCCATAGTTTTACAAAAACAATAAATAAATTACTTTTCAAAATAAATATAAATGCAATAAAATACAATTAAACTTTTTAAAATAAAATGATTTTGCTGACACTTATTGATCGTATCATCTTTTTATTTAATAGAAAATGACACAAAGTATAACTTAAGTTATATAAATTTATACACAGCTTTCTTGATGTGCTGCTAATAACGGTGTTCTGGTCGTGACGATTTCTCGATGAGATCTCATCGCCCCGTTGATCATGCTGCGACCAGAATCATTCTGAAAGTAAAATAGTATTTTAATATTTAAAACAAATAGCTCTTATCAATCGTTTTTTTACTGTACTGATAACAATACCTATAAACTAATATTAAATGACAAGAATGTGTAGTGAAAAGATACAAACTGCGTCTTCGTGAAGAAACGAATAGTCTAATGATGCAAGGGTAACATTTATCGCAGGGTAGTCCCTCAGGGCCTCTGTCACCGTCGGAACCGGTTACGTGGTCCGACGACTTAGACGTGACGTAGGAAGAGCAGGACTGAGCTGTGAAGTAGCTAGGGAATAGGCTGAGGAGGCTGTTTACTAGCTGCCTCCATAATAGCGTATTCAATGCCAGTTGGAATGAATCCAGGCTGGTACTGATCCAGAAATCTGGCAGGACTGCAGATTCAGATATGCCTTGCTGGACGTGGTGGCGAAACACTTTGGAAGAGGCACCTGTTGCGAGTGGGCCCCGACTTTTCAGACAACCAATTTGGCTTTCGACAGGGACGCTCGACGCTGGACGCGATCGTACGCGTCCGCTCTTGTCCTTGTCGTAAGAGATTATCTGTCGGGGGGAGGGGGGGAGGCGTTGGCCGTCAGTCTTGACACAATCAACGCCTTTAACTCTCTCCCGTGGCGGGCGCGTAGGGAGGCACTTGTGTCTAACCAGTTGCCCAGTTGCTTCCCTACTTGTGGGACATCATCGGGGTTTAGTGGTATCACCACGTACTCCTGGCTCCTGAGTCTCCGAGGAGCAGAAGATCCGAATGGTTTTCCAACCCGTCAACAATAATAAAAATATTTATCGACATTTTAATTGATTTATAAAAAAACATAGTAAGTTACGTTAAAGATTAATCAATCAAATCCTGGAGAACCCCAGCGATAACCACTCGCTATTCCGGTCCTATATTAGAACTCAGAAACTAACACAACTAAAATAATTAATGGGAAAGGGCGTTTATTTGTTCTTGTTGACTTACTAACTTTTCAATCTCAAACTACTCATCATTAATTTAGTACAATTACGTGGTCAGGGGTACAAAAGAGGACATTATTTATATAAGTGCCCTTCATCAATTATCAGAAAAGTAAAAAGTAATGTACTGTTCCCGGGGAATACCCAATTTGATTGACAAAATTAACGCCAGTACGTAGGGCCGTTAACGAGTAAAGCCGCGGGCAGAAGCAAGTTCAACATAATTTAAGATTTATTTTAGGGTGAAAATGATTTTTAACGTCTTTTTCTCTTATTTGAAATTCACATAATATACTAAATTTGAGTTCAAAGTTTTTATAAATTACAATTTTGAAATTAATAGATTTTCAATTTCTGGCAAGAAATTTCCAAGAACCAAGAACTTTAAACTGAGCAGTCTTTACAATATTTTTTTGAAATCTAAATATATTTTTTACTTAGCACTCTGTTAAACCGTGTCTGTATGACCAGTTAAACTACTATACGACTTTCCGTGTAATTGAATTGGGCACGTATTATGTTCGCGGTTTTTTGTGCTGAAAGCTGTTATTAAATTTCATGCAAGCCATGTAAACTAAAAATACATTCTACCATTTTAAAAAGCTGTGCGGTATCAGGTATTTTATCATTTTTCAATTCATGTTCAATTTGTTTTTCGTCGTTAAATACGGTAGCATGTGAAGTATGCAAGAGTGGATTTATAAAAATCTTCCTGAAGCTATATTGTGAAGCATTAATTAGCCAACCTGCATGTCTGTATAGTGTGCATGCGAAGAGATCGGCGTCACTGGTGTTTGAGTGCGTTGCAAACTGTGCGTACTGCTCGAGTTCTTTGGTGCAGCTATCGCTGAGTACAGCGGGGGGTCTGGTGGAGCTTCTGTTAACCCTAGTGAAGAAAACAATATGTTAGTGCATGCGAAAATCTCTCATTTATAGGCAATGTTATGTGTCATTAGTAAAGAGTAAAATCGATTGGACTATAAATGAAGTGGTGGCAACATTCGATACAAGAAACTGTATTTCACCGCTACCTAGCGGAGTCACGTTACAAGATGTAGTAACCATATAAGTAACCATTAATCTTGTATCGCAAACATGAAAAAATTATGAGTCATTAATAAAGAGACTATTAAAAATAATCGGCCTGTGTCAATGAGAAGTAAAATTTGGCCATTCTTTGTTAATATTTAAACTTCATTATTATTCACAGCGCATTGAAACTATGAATAATATAATATACACAATATCTATGTAGTTAGTTACGTAATTTGAAATTGATTTCAATTTTTAGGTAGGGGCACTAGCGATGGGGCGATCAAATGCAAACGGCGATTATAACGAACATGACATTTAATTTTTAATCGGAGCTCGCGACTTGCGTCTACCATTTATTTTACTATGTGTAAATAAAACATTAATGTATAATAATAACATGTATTTTGCAATACTAAAGTCAAGTGTTGTAATTTCTCACTTCAACAATTTATCATTAATAAAACTTGTTTGAAAAGTAATCTTAAATCATATTTATGTAGATCGGGTGAACTATTCAGTGAGTCAGTTTTATTGGAACATTAAATTGACAAACAAAACTATCATCAGGCCTGTCGTCTGCATGATTTTGAAAGTTGGCCCATTTAGAGAAAGGATGAGAGTCGCCTGAACGTAGATGAAATGCGAATGCTCAGATGGATGAGTGGTGTGACTCGGATGGACAAGGTCAGGAATCAGTACATACAAGGAAGTCTGAAAGTAGTGCCACTGGATGAAAAGTTAAGAAGTAATAGGTTATCTTGGTATGGACATGTCATGCGGCGGGATGAGGGAAATGTGGCGAGCAAAGTGTTAGGTATGGGAGTTGAAGGGTACAAGAGAAAAGGATGCCCAAAGAAAAGGTGGATGGACTGCGTGAGAGACAATATGATTAGGAAGGGAGTGAACAGTTAAATGGCTAACGATAGAGTAGGATGGAAGAATAATACATACTGCGCCGATCACAAATAGAATTGGGCAAGGGTAGGCAGATGAAAATTCTCTAGAGATTAAAATAACAGATTATTCGATAAGTACTAAGGCAACTATAACCTAAAAGCTATTTCTGGTACTGTTACTCTAATTGTTTTTATTTTTGTTTTGTTTTATGAAAATAAAAATTATACACTATTACCTATGTCAAATATAAGACTGATTATTTTTAAATATGTAATATTGTATTAAAATTTGTTTTTTTTTTTTCACATTTGTGTTTTGATAAGTGTTATTAATTGCGGTGATGTTTCTATAATGAAATCATGAAAAAATTATGAGTTATTAATAAAGAGACTATTAAAAGTAATCGGCCTGTATCAATGAGAAGTAAAATTTGGCCAAAATGTAAAAATTAAAAATAATTTAAGAAGACACATCAGAAAGTTAATTTGAAAGTTATTATGTTCTCAAACTAACTCGTTTTCCATGTGTTATATTTTAAACTGTTGATATAAAATTTTAATTAATTTAAAATCAATATAAAATTTATAGAAAATTCGACTAGAATCGGGTGAAACAGTAAATAAAATTTGTACGGGAGGGATTGGAAATAAATTACCTCCATTTGTTTTAGCTTGCTCAGGCCCCACCTCGGGCACCAATAAGTTTAGAAATGGAAATATTGTAGTAAGTGTACTATCGAGTGTTGGTAAAAGTACCAGAATAACATAATAATTCGCTAGGGATGCATTTTTCGGAAATACTTTAAACACTAGTTTTAGCAATTTTTCCTGGTAACCTTGAAATTGCCCTTGATCACAACCAAGCCCGGAATTGAAAACAAAGGAAAAAATTACAATTGGATACGAACTTCAGTACGCAAATGTTGATTGACCTCTAAAGGACACAGGATAGCCAGGGCAAATTCCTGTAACTTTTGTGTTCTGTTCCGGTACTATTCTAACATCCTCTATATCGCTTTTTAATGTAACGCAATAAAATATAATCAATATTTAAGCATTGACGTTAATCCAGGTTTTTAACAGCCATATTGCGAATAACGATTATAATCATATACCTTTTCCACAGGAAGAGGAAAAATAATTCAGTTCAGTTTATTTAACTGGGATGCGAATACCCAGAAGTAATAAATTCTTACCAATTCCATTTAAATTGCTAATAGTACCACTAGTGTTACTTTTAGTGATTTAAGATAGTATATTACATTTTGGAATATCGTTGTGTATCTCGTTTATTTCTCTTTGAAAGTCTATTGTACATATTGGTTAATCTTAGGGACAAACGACATCGAATGGAGTTGTTATTAATTTGTGTTTTATTGTGAAAATATATATTAAAAAAAAACGTAAATTAATAATTACGATTGTGTAAGAATAATAAAAAAAATATGTATATTAGATTGCCATAAAAAACTGTAAAGATGCCTTTACATAAAGTAATCAGGTTCTTGTATTAGTTACAAAAGGTTCGTAATATATTCATTTAATTAATAAATGATCCTAGTATTTGGTATAGTCAGTGAATATCGTTATCCCTTCGACTATCTGACGATCGCATTTCCTGATGTTCACCTTAAATTGGTTAGACTAAAGGTTGAATTTAATTTATATGGAAAATATAAAAAGGATTTAGGAATATCTAATATCTCACAATAAAGTGGGAAGAGAATATGTGTTGAACCTGGCGTTTAGCACAAGGTTTTCACTGTTTTATTGTCAGCAGATAAGTTGATCTTTTGTTTTTGTGGGAGCACAAATAACCAAGTGATTATGATACTGAACACAGCAGACCCACACATACACACCCACGCACAACATTATTACTTTAAAGTTTTAATTCAAAACCATCACACTGCTCCATAAATAAAACATCTGGATTTTAGCGCAACGTTCATTTTTACTTCTGTGTGGATAATTTTTCGACTATCGATTTCCATGCGAGACGATATTTTAAGTTCCTTTTCGAATGTAACTAACCATTTTTAACCATTAGTATTAATTATTAACAGATTTTTATGAATATCTTCTGAAACATAAAAATAGAACATGACTCGACCTATAAAACGATGGAAAACAAAATATTACTTTTTAATAAATAAGCTGCAACATGAAAATAAAATTTATTCGATGCACGTACAATATGTACGGTTAGTTACACACATCAAATGTATTTTGGTACATGTTATATTTTGAAATTGCTTTATAATATATATTTTATACCAACTCGAATTATCATTTTTATACGTATCAAGTTTAACATTTCGTTAATTATTCAGATTGATCAGATAAAGTAAGATAATATCTCAGAGAAACTCATTAAATTAGTATATATGTACATATATGATTATAATAACAACAAATGTAAAAATAAATATTGAGTATTCTTCGAACATATCCTTAATGAAAAGAAAATCTTAGAAAATAATCTTTAAATAGGCAACCATAAGCATTATTATTTTTATTAGTAAAAAATATAGTATACTTATATATTTTTATTTAATTTCTGAAATAAGTCATCCTCTGACGTTGAACATACAATAAATTAAATTTGCCACGTGCTTCAACTAAAGTTTTGAATGCGTTAAAACAAAATACAATCAGCTAAAGTAATTAATTAAGTTTAAATGAAAGAAACGTTCTTTTAAATAAAAATAAATGAACAATACACGAGAGCTTCTGAACTCAGCTAATACTTTTAGTGAAATACGGTGGAAGGAACGGATAGTTTGTTCGGCTAATAAGCAAAGTTGCAAAGTGCTTCGTTCGTTTCAGTTTTAAGTTTTACATTACAGCGTTGGCTTGCCAGCTAATTCAAGCTTATCTAGCAGTTTTTTTTTACTTTGAAAGCCATTAATGCGTAATTTAAGGGGTAATCTATTCGACTACATTACAGCAGATAGAATGGTTAAATTATGCTTTAGAAAACAGTGTATATAGTATAGTATATAGTGTATATAGTATATAATATAGGAATATTATTCCTATATTATATACAAAAATATATTCATAGTTCAGTTTGGTGAGTAAATTTATTTGATTAACTGCAAATTGGTAATTATAATGCATTTTATACAAGAATACTGTCAATATTAATGAATAATATTTGGTTTGTTGAAGTCCAAAAGAAAACACTTGATTTTTGTGTCTATTCCCTATAATATTAATTATTCACGATGGCGAATTTACAGACATCAACACAGTTCACTTATTAACTACGGTATCGGACGAGACATGTCTTTGTGTTCCAAACTATTTTGACCGTCTGTCCAAGAGAGCGTCCCGCGGTAGCGGAACTACGTCATCGCGTCGGAGAGTGATGTAACAGGCAATACAGGCGTAGTGATATGCCACGCTTAGTGATGTGCAACGCCACAAATATATTATTGACTGCGCGGATGGTGTAGTGGTTCAAGTGGTCGCTTTGCCACTTCCTACTGCATTACTTTCTACAACAGTCAGGTTTTAGGTTCGGTCGCCATATGAGGCAACACTTTGTGTCATCCACAAATTTTTGTTCTGAGTCTTAGTGTTCTTTGTGTCCGTTTCATGCATGTTCGTAAAGTCCCCCGTGACACAGGATATATTTCTAGTGCGGGATTTGTCAATAAAAAATACTTTAGAAATTAATTGTTGTTAAACTCGCACGACGGATGGAGCACGGCCACAGTCATTTACGACTTGACACATTGAATCCTGACTGTCACTGTGGCCACGGCTCGATACCAGTCTGGTATAACACGAATCATCCCTCCCTACTTTGGCCATACAATATGTCACACTTTAGTTTAGGGAGCAGATGGTATAAACTCGTGAAAAACTTCGATCATTACTAGACTTTGTCTCAAACAGCGGCTAAAGTTATCCCAATATAAAGGATTAAAGGATTAAGTGAAAGTTAAATTTCTTTTGGAGTCCCTACTTTATATTTAAAACAACATTAGATGTTAGATTTTTTAAGTTACTGAGACGTAGGCAAGTAGACTTTAGAAGTATCTTCATAATTCTTCTATGTCGTGAGGAGGGTGCGTGACTCTACCAAGTGTGACAACATGAGTTATATATCTTTATACCTATCCATCTATCTATCTGTTTATCTATCTACCAGTAACTGCTTAAAATAAGTCAAATCAAGGGTTTGTTAATATATATGAATAAATACGACAACAGATAAAATGGTATTTAAGTATTTTTCAGAAGGTACCTACGTAAACCAAATATTTGTACACCCGGATATACTTTAAATTACTTATTCTTTGATCGCTTTACGCTTTGATCTTTATTGGAAAAAGTGAACACGAATGGTTGCTGACATTTTCTTATAGGTACCTTCGCTTGATTTACCAAAGTAAAGACAAGGAAGCAGTGATGATAAATTACCAGTGACGATTTTGTGAATATATCTGGCAATGTTCTATGACGTAAACAATTGAATAACAATAACACAAAATCTTAGAAATTGTAAAGAAAAATTTGTTTATTTTAAATTTTATTTAGTATAAACTTACCCTAGTTAATTACCTTTTTTAAAATTACTAGTTTTTAATTATTTTTAGCATCCTATCCACAACCTTTTTACGGAATGGAAAAACATTACCGCCTGTGTATACTGTGCTCAGAAATATTACGATTCAATATAATAAATAAGTATGATGTTTTAATTCCCGGCTTAGTTTTACTTGCGCTATTCATAGTAGACTTGACCATTAAAAAAAATCTATATTAATAAACGTATGTAGTAGTAACTCGTATTAGTCTGTCAGTTTGACGACAAAGTTGCTCAACCAATGAAGTTTTGCTTACAAGTTATAAATGGCATGAAAACAAGACGGGCTATATTCTAAAAAAAACTGTTTTCAAAGCATAGTAAAAAGCTTTAATGCAACCAAAGTCCCAAAAAAAAACAATAATTTATAGTAACATTAAAATTTGTTAACATTGTAATTTCAACAAAGAATTTCAAATATTTAGAAAATTTAAGGGCGAAATATTCTTATCCTTAAATAAGACATGAATGACTAAAATATTTTCGTGAATGACTTTGTTAGTGAAATTAGATACAAACTATTAATGTCTCAACCGAGGATCTGAAAGGAAATTTCTCGGCATGAGGTAATATCAATCTGACAAAACCACTAATTAAGTAAATTAACCTCTTGATTATGAAGGGATTTAGTTGATGTCATAAAGCCGTTGATCTGGTTGTGAGGTCAATTAATTTCTATGAAATGATCAATTAAGGTAGATAAATTTATTCTGTATCATGAGTTAACACCTAAGTAACCGTTCCAATTTTCGGAGCTGTTTGTTTTTATATTTAAACTTAATTGATTATGATAATAATCGTAATAAGTGTTAATTTTCTAAAAAATCTTGTAATTCGTGTTTATCAAATTACTAGCTGACCCGCGCAACTTCGTCTGCGTCTCTCAATTGTAATAAATTTACTCCGTTTTTGAAACATTCTTCATTGGTGCTCCGCTCCTATTGGTCTTAGCGTGATGATATATAGCCTTCCTCGATAAATGGGCTATCTAACACTGAAATAATTTTTCAAATCGGACCAGTAGTTCCTGAGATTAGCGCGTTCAAATAAACAAACAAACAAACAAACTCTTCAGCTTTATAATATTAGTATAGATTACCTTATTGATGTAGTTATAGTACTATTAATCTGCAAAGAAATTCCAGTCCAACAAATAGTTAATTTCCCAAAATGTATGAAAGCACTCGTAAAACAATGATTGGAATTTGAATAAAATTTGTTGATGTCTATCACTTGTCTGTCATCTGTGACTTTCACACACATTTATGTCACATCTGTGAATCTAAGTCTAATCCGTGTAAGTTCTGTGTTTTTCTTTTATATTCCATTACACTTTCATGTACCATGTAAAAAAAAACCGTTATGGACAGAGTTATAATCATCAAAGTTTGCTAGTGGAGAGATAGAAGTGTTACACGTATTATATCAGATCGGATGACACTTTTAATCTGAATCCGGGAGCTTGTACAGCCGAAGTTCACTTAAGTTCACGGTTGAGTGGACATCAAAATAATGACGCGTCGTGTGTGTACTACTTTTTCACTTTTATGTGTTACCTATTATCAATGACACAAAGTAATACATTGAAAACAAAAACAACGAAATATTATTTGCTACTCGCATATAACTTTAACACGCTTTAGGTGTGGTTCTTTAGGTATCGTTGAGTAAGGTAGTAGCTATGTAAATATTCTTCAGAGCCTCTAGTTATAGCACTTTACGCAGAAGGTCAAGCGGTGAACATTTACATTTCGAGCACGGACACTTTTTAATAAAAAATATCTTTAATAAAGTCTTTTCACCTTTTTTTTTGTGATTTTTATTACGAATAGATTACCATTTTTGAGCCCGAGGGTAACAATTGCTGCGGTAACGATTTTTATTGTATTTGTGTGTCTGTTGAAAGGCTTTAAAGAATGTAAGGCTCTTACCCTTTATAGTAAACGCTTCACCGATTAAAGCAAATTGGAGCTACAAAATCTAATTTTGAAGTGACCTTTAGATATATTTTATTGCTAAGTGCATTTGTATTTGATTGAATCTAAAATCTTTTGTATTGTTTTCAATCCTTTTGATTTTTGCAATGTTGTTAATAAATAATTTTATTACTGTTATATGAGACTATTTAGTTAACTACTTATGACATGAGAGTTTTTGGTTTATAGAAAATGTCATAGATATCCTTTATTCAGATCTAACTGAACTCTACAAAACTGTATCTATATATAGCTATAATTCAGTAAGTTTAATGAAAATCTGATCCATATTCTTTTAGTAACAATAATATAGTATTCAGTTGCAAGGTCCGATTAATATTATCTTATGAATTAAATAAACAAAAAATAAATTCAATAGATTTATTTATTTTTGTTACTTTTTCTGACAAACAACTAAATGAATGGGCATGATATTTCTGACACTGGAAGTTTATTATCTACGTTAACAAACAGGATAAGTCAGTGCCTATCTACTTAGTACCATCTTGAAAGACACCCAATAGAATTACGTAATTAGTGTAGTTAAAATTAAAAACAGGCTTGAGATTGTGTCATTACATAATGGCATGATTACTTCCAGCAATCCAGTTCTAATTTTTTGTTTAGTGGTGTTATTTTCTGAAGTAATTAGTAAATCAATGAGGTAAGAATATGGTAATGACACCTTAATTACTGGTACAATCACGACACTTAAGAACTTTTCCTTTTTTTTCTTCTTTAAGTTACTGAACATATTTAATTTTAAAAGATGACCGATGATCATCATAGTTTTTTTCATCAAGTACGATTAACTATTTTCGATTCTCAAAGGCTGTCTGCATTGTAAAACTCGACTATAAATATAAAATTATCCGTAGTTCCGATATAGTTAACATTAATTGTAGTAATGTTTTATCAGATATTATTGATATTCTTCCAGAAAAATCATAATCTTTGGAATCTTTTAAATCTGATTTGGTTACTATTATCCACTTTTAGTATACATACTAAAGTGTTAAGATACTTAAAGTGGATATTACTAAGAAGACAGTCACGGTCCGATACTAAAAATTAATGTAAAATGTATTAATGTTTACCAGAGTTGTTCTAGCGGTCGAATTTCGATCACAATGAATTATATCTTTTAAGTGTGTTTTTCTTTAATTACTTTTTCTAGAGTTACTTGAACCGTCATTTTAACTGCGCCTCATTAGGATTTTATGCTAATTTTTCAGTCTTTAATTTGTGTTAAAATGGCTTAAAAAGAGCATACAATCTTAATCGTCTTACTGTATACATGAAACAGGTAAATCAAACTATCCAATATAGTATAAAATACTTCTGAAGTGTGTGAGTATGTTAATATATATATTTTTTTTTAAATAAAGATAAAATTTTGAAACAAAACCTTTGCTTAGTGGAATGAGGTCCGGGTTCTTGTCATCAGCACCTTGTGTTGAGCTTCGTTTCTGTACAACCACCATTTGATTCTTCAGTGTAGGAAGTGTCACTGCAATAGATAGTTTTATTTAGTTTATTGATTATTTTTTATTTGAACTTAAACAAAAATATTTGCTTATTTCAAATGCTCTATTTTTAATGATCTAATTCGATATAGCTTTGGAATACTTAATTATCCAGTAATACGTATAAGAGATGGGTTGGTAATCAAAATTGAGACATTTTTATTTATGTTTACTGCCACTTTTATGAGAAATGATGTAAGACCATATGACAGTTTCCACATATTATAAAAAATCATAGCTACCTGTACCTTGTTATTTGTAAACTTTGAGCAGATTTTTTCAAAAAGGATTTAAAGATTAAAAAAAAAGGCAACATAAATAATTCTAATTTATAAAATAAAGTTTGAAACAACCAGAAATAGCTAGAGTTAGATTTATTCTGGTATCCAAAAAAATAGTTTTGTATTTTTAATTTTTTTAATATAGTATTTTTACTAACATTTTTAATGAATACTAGAATAATTTTGTAATCATATTATTTTTCCTCTAAAATGAAAAAAATAATTACTTCTGTGAATACGTGTTTTTGTGCACAGTATATTTTATCAGTAAAAATCCAGGCACTACACAGCCTTTGAAAAGTGTTATCTAAATATTCATATAGAATTTTTTGTACCAGCAAACTAATATTACACTGTCACATACCCACAGGATTCAATAGTCCTTGTTCAAGATAATTGACAAATGTCAGCTGTAAACTTTAAAATATTATATCGTTTATTCACTCACCTTCATAGTCCCTGGATCTACTCCGCACCTTTGTGGCAATTAGAGCGAGACACAGTATAAGAGCGATAGTCAACGCAGTGCCCAGGAATACGCCAAGAGCCCAATTCACCTCCCATGCTTCCTGTGGTTCTAAAAATTTAAAGATGTTTTGAATGCAGTACTAATATGGTATTATACTAAACAATTATCATTGAAAAACCTTTATTTTGTACTTGGAAGTATTATTAATTAGAGTTAAAATGTTCCTGGTGTCATTCTTATAGTACCGTAATTGATTATTTATATATTTACTACATTATCCTATAAGTCCTATGAGTAAACAATGAATCTTACTGTAGGCACTATGTAACAGTTATTTTTTTGTACATTTGTTGGTCTTGTTAAAAGCTACATCTATTAGCCGCGTTGCATTGTTTTTAATTTATCTAAGGTAGTTTATAACTACAGTTTTGATCTTCTGTGTTCACTGATGTTAAATGTCAAAGTAAAATGTTGAGTAGGGATAAAGTCTGGAAGCTTCCTGAACCTAGGATATATAAGTCCGGCTTTCTGCCACGGGAGACACTGCTATCTCGTGCCTTCCGATCTTATATAGTGTTTTGATTGCTGTGTGATTTGATTTTCTTAATATATTATCTGTTCAAAGTACCCACACTAAAGTGGTGAGTATGTTCTTAATTCTACTTAAACCTATTTGTTTCTGGAACCTGTTTAATTATATGAGTGCTAATCCATTCGTAGGGTCCCAGATTTCGGGGTCAAGACGGTCAGTCTTAGACGGCGTGCTTGCTCTTTTGTGGCCTTCTGGTACAGACTCAAGTTTCTCGGTACCCTCTGGCAAAGCTGGTGATTGCGCGGCTCACGACGCAAGCGGACAGCCGTACCCAAGAGTTACGTACTTAAACTTATAATTGTAATTTGTTAAACTTTTATCCATATCCAATATAAATAGCCGACTCGGGCGGAAGAGGAAGTAACCTCCTGGAGGGACGACGAGGTGGCACCGAGCACCATCAGCTCGGCTCTAACGCGCACCGCTGCGGTTTTTTTTTCTTTTCTTGTTATTGTACCCACACTGTTTAATTAGTTTAATTTGATCTACTTTTTCTTTGAAATATACATGTATGTATAACTGAGGTGTAAGTTGTTTTCCTCTAAAGAGTCCCATAGGTTTCCCACACGCACACACTTCTATTCTCATACAAGGCGCCCTGAGGTAATCTCTTGAATCTCTCCACTGGGTCAGCCGGTGAGTAGTCCGCCAGAGAGGAAAAGCGGCTACAAATTGGCGACCAACGTTTGGCCAGCGATCCAAACCTCGGTGCGTGTGCTGTGTGAGGGTGCCTAAGGGTATTCACTTTGGAGGAGACACTTCCCTCCGTCCGATACTCCCCAGGACGTTAATTGGTTGTGCGGGTGCAGTACGCATGTAATAATTTTACCCTCATTGTATTTTCAGCCTATCGTACCATCATCCCTGAGGCAAGGAAAATCAGTGAGACACCTAAATTCCAAATTTAACTCAAAATTCCAACTGCACATATTTCGGGTAAGTTTTGAAACATTTTCTGGCCTAAATTTTTTTTTTCTTTTTTTTTTGAGTTAGCTACTTCTGTTCGTACCTTTGAGGTCCGTAGCGTGAAGTTGTGCATACGTGTATATTCAGTGTGTTTTTTTTCCCAGTACTACTGGTGTAATTTACTTGAAACTTAACTTAACTTATAAAGTTTTATGTACCCTCCATTTTTTATATAACCTCTTGGCTTGAAATTAAAATAAAATAGTTTTGTTGTATACATACCCTACTTAGAATTTTTTTGTCAAAATAACTTTTATAATAATAAACTTTGTCATTTCATTGGATTACTGAGTTAATATTCTAGAGATAGTATAACTTGTGTCTTGAATAGTGAAACAAGAATATCTTTGTCTTTAGTTGAATTTGCTTCTCAAGTTTTGAGAATTACTTAATGTTTTAATATTTTATTGTAATATTTGTTAAAAATATTAGTGTGCTTTAACCTTCTCACACTTAATAGTGAAGAAGTATACTCAGTTTCTACTTTGAAATATTACTTGATATTTTAATATTTTATTATAATATTTGTTAAAAATATTAGTGTGCTTTAGCTTTCTCACACTTAATAGTGAAGAAGTATACTCAGTTTCTACTTTGAAATATTACTTGATATTTTAATATTTTATTACAATATTTGTTAAAAATATTAGTGTGCTTTAGCTTTCTCACACTTAATAGTGAAGAAGTATACTCAGCTTCTACTTTGAAATATTACTTAATATTTTAATATTTTATTTTAATATTTGTTAAAAATATTAGTTTGCTTTAGCTTTCTCACACTTAATGGTGAAGAAATATACTCAGTAGCAATATTTTTTACTTTGAGATATTACTTGATGTTTTAATATTTTGTTATAATATTTTTTAAATATTAATTTACTTTAACCTTCTCACACTCTGTTATTAGTGAAGAAGTCTACTCAATATCATTATTTTTTACTTTTTTTTTGAACTGTAAAAGACATTAAGTCTGCATTACTGGTTTGTTAACTTGTTAAGATTATTTTTGTATAATCGAATTTAAATTGTAAACCACCATGGCACATTTACGTAAGTGCATTAACTACCTTAAAAAAGATGAACTTATTAATGAACTGTCTGCCATGGGGATTTCAGCGAATCCGGATGATACGGTTGTCGGCTTGCGAAGTGAACTGCGTACTGCTTTGCGGCTTATCCGGCGTGGCAGCATTAAGGCCATCACCGCTGTTCCTGCTGTTGCCGCCTCTGAGTTGTCTGTCTGCGAGCCTAAGATCTCTGAGCTGGAACAGGTCCTTTCTTCAGGTGACTTTGTTTCGAATAAAAATTGTCGTACTAGAGTTGCATTGAGGGCTAATTATCTTCTCGCTAGGTTAGCCAGGTGTGGTTTAGACTGTCCAGAACTAGTAGGCATCCGTGACCGCTTAGTCAAGGTTTTGGCGGTGTCTGAATCAGATACCGACTCGGACTCTGAGGTTTCGGAGAAGGATACCGATCCTACTCATCGCGACCACATAGGTTACACCTCACCTGTGGTAAGGGGGGACCGCTCGACGCGACCCAACGCATCCAGTTCCGACCCTAATTCAAATATAATAGTAAGGGATAGACCCGTTAATTTAAATTGTTTTAATATAAAATATGATGGCTCTTCTTGTGTACGTGTCTTCATTGAGAGACTAGAGGAGCTCAGATGTGCTCGGGAAGTCACCAAGGATAAGATCCTCACAGCCTTCTCTGACCTATTGGACGGTCCGGCCTTGTCGTGGTACCGCACCAACAAGGAGTCTTTCACCTCATATGAGGGCATGATAGAGGAGCTGAAAGAAACCTTCGACCTTCCTGACTATGATTATCGCCTCCGCAATGAAATCAGACAGCGTACACAGGCCCGATCAGAAACATTGGGCAACTACATCTCTACAATGCAGGCCATGTTCTCTAGACTCTCGTGCAAGATGCCCAGTGAGGAGCAACTGGACATTTTGATGCACAACATCAGGCCCGATTACATGAAGGAATTGGCCCTTCATGACGTAAAATCTATAGTTGATCTGAAGCGATTGGGAAAGCGCCTTGAACTTGCGCGTGCTAGGGCTGAGGCATTTCGGGAACCAGCTTTCGAAAGGTGTGGGATCACCTCGGATTTACACCATATGAAAAATAAATATGTTCAAAAAACTTCTCAACAGGTCTCAGCAGTGGCCCGTCCTTCGACCTCGAGCGCACACAAGTGTTTCCGCTGTGGTGGTGGCGGTCACCCTACCTCCGGCTGTACACAGTCGAGGGATGTGGTGTGTTTCCGGTGTGGACATAAGGGAGTCAGAGCACCTGAGTGTCCGAAATGCAATGCCAAGCCAAAAAACGAGTAAGTCAGGGCCTTGTTAAAAGATCACCAGTCGAGTCGAAGCGAGTTTCTCTGTCTGATGATCTCTCTGATAGGGTCCTGTTTACCAAACGGGATAATGATATAAGACCGTATTTAGTAGTTAAGATCCTGAACTTAAATGTTCTAGGGTTACTTGATTCGGGTGCAGCTTGCTCTGTGTTGGGTAAGGGAGCGCACCACATTTTTTTTGAATTAGGGTTTGAGCTTGAAAGCATCAGCCCTAACTTTAACCTAACTACAGCAGACGGCTCATATTTGCCATGTCTGGGCTGTATTTCTTTGCCTATTGAATATAATTCTGCTGTCAGAGTTATTAAGTTTTATGTTGTTCCAGAGATTACTACTGCCATGATATTTGGTGTAGACTTCTGGCAACAGTTTCAATTGGGGAATAGACTGATCTCTCAGAATATCAATCTTTCCAACTTTAGCGACTGTAATCCTGTGGAGGCTCTGTCTCTTAACAGTGGTCTAGAGGATTACAACAATTTGACCGCCGATCAGAAGCGGGTAATTAACTGCATCATTGAGAAGTTTGATACGATCAACACGGACAAGGTTGGTTTAGGTCGAACATCTCTGGTGCATCATGTCATAGACACAGGAGACAGTAAGCCAATCAAGCAAAGGTACTATCCGCTCTCTCCCCTGAAACAGAAAGCCTTGGAAGAGGAACTGGACCGGATGTTGGAGATGGGAGTAGTGACCCCATCTCAGTCCGCGTGGAACTCACCAGTGGTGATGGTGGAGAAAGCGAATGGTGACCTAAGATTGTGCCTTGACTCTCGTAAGCTCAATTCTGTATCTAAGAGCGATGCGTATCCATTGCCGTATATCAACCAAATCTTAGACCATCTCAATAATGCAAGGTATTTGACTTCCATTGATTTAAGTGCGGCGTATTGGCAGATTCCTTTTGACTCGCCTCAATCCGCCGAGAAGACCGCCTTCACTGTCCCAAGAAGAGGTCTCTTTCAGTACAACGTTATGTGTTTCGGTCTCATCGGAGCTTCAGCTTCGATGCAACGCCTCATGGACCGCCTATTTGGTCCCGAGTTCGACAATAGGGTATTCGCATTTCAGGATGACATAATCATTGTGGCCAGCACCTTTGAGGAGCATGTGGACCTTTTACATAGAGTCTATCAGCGCCTTAAGGATGCGGGTCTCACGATCAACATGCAAAAATCGCATTTCTGTCGTAGCGAATTGAAATACCTCGGGTACTATGTTGACAAGCATGGCCTGCGGACAGACCCAGGTAAAGTTGATGTCATTCTCAACTATCCTACACCTTCCAATGCTAAGGAGGTGAAAAGATTCCTGGGCATGGCTGGGTGGTATAGGCGTTTCGTAAACAATTTTTCTAAGATTAGTAAACCCTTATGTAAATTAACTTCTAAGAATGTATCATTTGAGTGGACGCGTGAGGCTGAAGAGTCTTTCAACCTGTTGAAGGCCGCTTTGGTCTCCGCTCCTATTTTGAAAATGCCTGACTACTCATTGCCTTTTAGGATTCTCAGTGACGCGTCATCCTTCTCTGTGGCTGCTGTACTCACGCAGACACATGAGGGAGTGGAACACCCTATCGCGTATTGTAGTCGTTCTCTTAACAAAAACGAAGTCAACTACAGCACCACTGAGCGAGAACTCCTAGCGGTGATCTTTGCTCTGGAACAGTTCAGGCAGTACGTGGAAGGCCAGAAATGCACCGTAGTTACGGACCACGCCTCGCTGTTGTGGTTCCGTAAACTTAAGAATCCGACAGGTCGCCTGGCGCGCTGGAGCATGAGGTTGAGCCAGTTTGACGTCGATATAGAGCATCGAAAAGGTAAAGACCATGTGGTACCCGATGCTCTGTCTCGAATTCAGATTGACACAATAGGCACCAGCGTTACTAGGGACTCTTGGTACCTCCACACTCTAGACAGGGTGAAGAAGAACCCTCAGCACTTCCCCAACTTTGATATACGGAATAACTGTTTATACAGGCTATCAAAACAGAAATACTCTCTGACTTCTGATTTTGAGTGGAAGCTGGTGGTGCCGCTGGAAGACAGGTTATCCCTGCTCACCAAGTACCATGACGACGTCATGAGTGCCCATGGGGGTGTTTGGAAAACCCATAAACGTTTGGCCCTCTACTATTACTGGCCTAAGATGTACGAGAGTGTCAAGGAATATGTAGACAAGTGTGAGACTTGTAAGCAGTACAAACCTGTGAACACTACTCGTCCCGGCCTAATGGGGAATCCGAAACGGGTGTCTAGACCCTTTGAGGCCATCTCGTGTGACCTGCTGGGTCCATTCCCTACTTCCAGCAAGGGAAACGTTCATTTAATTGTGGTCTCGGACTATTTCAGTAAATATGTCATGTTGTGTCCTATACGGATAGCAACAGGCGTTGCTGTCGCGAGATTCATAGAAAAGAATGTTTTCTTAGTCCACGGGGTTTGTAAAACCATTTATATGGATAATGGCCCACAGTTTGTTAGCAAACCGTTTAGGGACTTGTTGGTTAAGTACAATGTGCCTAACATTTATTATAATCCTCGATATCACGCGCAGACCAACCAGGCAGAGCGAGCTATACGCAACGTGGTTCAGGGAATTTCCTGCTACGTGAAGTCACATCACAAGAAATGGGACGAGAATCTCGTGGAACTCCAGTGTGCCCTAAACACTGCTGTCAGCGAAGCCACTCGTTTCAGTCCCTATTTTCTTGTTCACGGTAGGGAATTCATAGGGGATGGAGTTCTTTATAGACAGACAGAGATTCCTGCCCATCCCAATTCTGTTTCCATTGACAGTCCAGTGTCCTTTGGTGAGAGATTGAAGGAACTACATCGGATATACGACCAGGTGAGGAATTACTTAGATATTGCTCACCGGCGTAACGAGAAATACTACAATCTCAGAAAAAGGCATGTGGAATTGAAAGTGGGACAGATCGTTTATAAGAGGACATTCTATCTATCTAACAAGGCTAAGAACTTTACGGCGAAGTTAGCGCCTAAATTTATGAAATGCATTGTCACCGCCAAACGCTCTCCTTTGGTCTATGAACTGTCGGATTTGGATGGTAAGGATCTGGGAGTATATCACATTAAGGACATTTTGAAGTATAGTGAAAAGGAACAACCTTCTGATCCTTCTCCTACCTATGTCAGTTCCGTCTCTACTCGTATGTGAGATTGCACACTTCGCGTCGCACGGTCTCTCTTTGCCACACACCTGCTCACTCTATGGTGTTCACTTATGTGAGAACCATACAGTGATTCGGGTAGTAAATAGGGTAACACCTCTGTAGTATTGGGTGAAGGCCTTTTGACTTTGTTTTTTTTTGGTAGTTATTGTTTTGTTTGGATTTCATATTGCTCACAATGAGTGTGGTCAGCGCGAGCTATATAATTTATTTTGCATTTCTTGGGTTGACCCTGGTGATGATATTCCCTGCGCATGCTACGCAGGGAATACTTTGAGGGAGGGGGTGGTGTAACAGTTATTTTTTTGTACATTTGTTGGTCTTGTTAAAAGCTACATCTATTAGCCGCGTTGCATTGTTTTTAATTTATCTAAGGTAGTTTATAACTACAGTTTTGATCTTCTGTGTTCACTGATGTTAAATGTCAAAGTAAAATGTTGAGTAGGGATAAAGTCTGGAAGCTTCCTGAACCTAGGATATATAAGTCCGGCTTTCTGCCACGGGAGACACTGCTATCTCGTGCCTTCCGATCTTATATAGTGTTTTGATTGCTGTGTGATTTGATTTTCTTAATATATTATCTGTTCAAAGTACCCACACTAAAGTGGTGAGTATGTTCTTAATTCTACTTAAACCTATTTGTTTCTGGAACCTGTTTAATTATATGAGTGCTAATCCATTCGTAGGGTCCCAGATTTCGGGGTCAAGACGGTCAGTCTTAGACGGCGTGCTTGCTCTTTTGTGGCCTTCTGGTACAGACTCAAGTTTCTCGGTACCCTCTGGCAAAGCTGGTGATTGCGCGGCTCACGACGCAAGCGGACAGCCGTACCCAAGAGTTACGTACTTAAACTTATAATTGTAATTTGTTAAACTTTTATCCATATCCAATATAAATAGCCGACTCGGGCGGAAGAGGAAGTAACCTCCTGGAGGGACGACGAGGTGGCACCGAGCACCATCAGCTCGGCTCTAACGCGCACCGCTGCGGTTTTTTTTTTCTTTTCTTGTTATTGTACCCACACTGTTTAATTAGTTTAATTTGATCTACTTTTTCTTTGAAATATACATGTATGTATAACTGAGGTGTAAGTTGTTTTCCTCTAAAGAGTCCCATAGGTTTCCCACACGCACACACTTCTATTCTCATACAAGGCGCCCTGAGGTAATCTCTTGAATCTCTCCACTGGGTCAGCCGGTGAGTAGTCCGCCAGAGAGGAAAAGCGGCTACAACTAGACTAAAAAGATATCGGATTATCTAACAATTTTATGAACCTCTTCCTTACAATAAAATCATTTCAATCGACAAAAGATACATAAGGGAGCATGATTATGTTTCCTTAACATACTTTCTTTAGGGAACGTTCTCCCTAAGATTAAGAGGTAGCCGATTTGTGAGTTTAAACGAGCCTTGACAATTTGTAAGAGCATTATCTCTTTGAAAGGTTACTTTGCGTTTTTGTAAATTTTATAAATGAAATTCGTTCATTTTAGACTTTATGAGCACTTTATTTTGTAACCAGTATATACAAATGATACGTAAATATTGATTATTATTAACTGAATTCAAAAAGTTAGTATATACTAACGATTTTCTTAAAAGTTATGAATATTTTTTATGATTGTTCTATTAAAGCATTCTATATTTTATTTCAAATTCGTTTTAGGTTAGGTTTAAGGTTATTATTTGTTTGCCAAGTCCATTTTAGTAAAATTGATAAACCTTGCCAAAATCTAATACTGCTATAACTATATTTTAATATCAATAAACTAATAGTTACTTTGTTATCAGTTATTTAAATACACATCATTGCTACAACGTTGAAATAAAATAAGCCTGGCCTTATGCTTCTAAGCCTAAGTATACTAACCTGAGCGAGGTAACAGCCTGAAAGCAGTTTCGACCTGAAGCGTTATATGTTCCGATCTTCCTCTAGCATTTGCCGCGTATACTATCAGCTTTAGTTGTCTGTTAGCTCCTAGTCTTCTAAGGTTCCACAAAGCAACACCATTACTTGCATTAACCACTAAACCTTCAGTAGCCCACACTTCAACTACATAGATACATTGTAGTCCACCTTCGTAACCTAAAAAGAGGTGTATGATAAAAATATCATGTTATTATTTATAGCACACTTATTTAAATTAAATTCAAAGTGATGGATTTCTAAATTTTTCATTTTTTTTCCACCTAGCGTAAAAGAGCGTTTGTGCTTCTCACTGTCTCTTTTTCTGAATGGAGAAACGCATTTGGAGAATTTCGTAATGATCAGATGAAAGTTGCATAAGATTCCTCGTAGGTTTATAAACATTGATTTTCATAAATAAGATAACAGATTTTTCGTAGGGCTGCTTATGTATAAAATCATTTACAAATATTTAGTTTAGTTATATTACCCTTGCATAAAATTATTTTATTTTATTTTATTATAACACCCGATATAAAAAAAGTATTACCAACTTCAAAGCGCCTAAATCATGATAAAGTGTAATGAACTGTATTCTTCATCCCTTATTTAACTTTCCCAACTTAGAATTCAACCAATTCATTTAGAAAACGAATTGTGAGCCATTCGTGAGTCAATTACAATAAGCCGGCTCATAAATGGTGACTATATCGCTTAACATTGATAAATAATCAAATTGAGAACCTCCCCCTTTTTGAAGTAAGCGAAAAGAAAAATTACAATTAGGTATGATCATACGGCCAAATGGTCTTGGTCATTTCTTCTTTAACCAATTAAAGGGCCATGTCTTTATGTCCTACAAAAATGTAATTATGGCACGTATACACAACACACGCATACAAGTATGCATGCAAGCATGCATACACAAACGCACGCACAAACAAACACACACACCTTATCCATCTTACACACACTGTGTATATTTTTTAAATGCACACATAAATAAGATCTTATTTACGAGTTCAAATATCTAGAGGCAGACCGGAGATAATGTCTAAACTTTAAGGTAATGATAACCGGTTAGTGGTATCCGAGATCTGCACAGAAAAAAAGAACTGTAATGACAAGGCATGTAGAGTCGAATCAGTTACATATTAAACAGTGCAAGATGAATTAGAAAAATGAGTGCTGGACTACCATCACTAGGAATGAATATCTTAAAAGAGAGAGTGAGAGATAAATACATTTAATGACTTTATAAGCAAATTTTTTTTATAATTATTCAGTTAAACATTGAAAGACTTATTCTTACCAATATTCAATTTTAGCAACGTGCTTTAGCAATTTAACACTTTACATTTTCTAATTACATCAAGGGCTTTGGAAATGTATTACATAGAAACATAAAGCATTCTTCGAAACAACAGAGAATATGTGGATAAAAGCGAATACTGTTTATTTTACGAGAATTTCAGAGAAAGCCAAGGAGAGCCACTTGTGCATTCGATGTTATTCTGAGATATCATCAAGTTTTGCGCAAACCAAATATGAGTCTTATGTAAATGTGTTGAAGTTGTCGTCTATTAGATAGCTCAAGCTTCAAATGTGAACTCCTCCAGTTTTACGTACAGAATAAGGTCTTTTAGTAACCGAGAAATGTGATGAATCAATAAAAAAGTCATCATCATCATCATCAACAGCCTTTAATAGTCCACTGCTGGACATAAGCCTCTCCTTAGAAAGGAGGTTTTGGCCTACTATACCACGCTGGCCAGACGGTTTGGTATAGGTATTGATAATAAAAAAGTAAAATGGTTAAATTTAAATAAAAAAAACATTATTGGTTAATAATAATTATTGTAAGCACCTTATAGCAAAGATTACAAAACGAAAGTTTTAAATTTAAAAAACTTATAATCGAAATAATTTTGTTTTGTTCTCTAAATTCAAATTTCTTGAATGTGCCTTTTCATAGTTTATACTTTAATATTTTAATATTTATAATATATTTTTTTTACTGTAAAATTAAGTAAAGATAGTAAATATATATATAACTTTTGTTTTACTAGATACATCCCTCGAAGCTTGCGTATTTCAGTTATTGATATTGAAACATGAAAGTCGGGCATTTCCAATGATAGATAATACTTTATTTGTACACAAGTGTTTTCACAGGGATTGAAAAGTATAAAATGTACAGCAGATATAATGTACAAAGGGCGGCCTTATCGCTCAGAGCAATTTCTTCCAGGCAACCTTTGGATGGACTGGAATTATTATAAACTGATGTAAATACGAATTCAAGCAATAAATATTTATGGTCTTAATAGACATGGAGCATAATCACAGTGAACTGCTACATAGCTGCCATTACCAAGATGATAATAGGAAAAAATACTAAGTTTACTGTTAAATAGGCAAAATAGGGTCTTTATGCTACGTCTGAAAACAGCTTATTGTGATTTTGTCCCATGCCTAGGTCTTAACCTATGAAATATACACTTATCATGCATAAACATTACTAATTCATTTATAAATTAAATACTATACATACATTGTCATAGATACAGTAATAGATACGTAAATGTACGAGTATTCATTTTATTAAGTTTAAAAATATAGTAAAAATAAAAATCAATTGAGACATCCTTTTGAAAATAATTTTAAGTTTAATATAATTTTAAAGACGTCTTCCTATAAAACTTAAAAGATCCAGTTTTATTTTATAGAAACAAATCAATTAATACTATAATAACTGAATTTTTCCAAAAACTAATAATAAGTCAATTCCGCTAAGTTGCTTTTAATCTTTAAAAAAATAGACTTATAATAATGTTGGGCACCTCATTACAGAACTAAGTACTTATAAAGATATAACTTATCATAATCATATGCAAGAAGAAACCTCAAACTGCTATTATGTAAAGTAAGCATTTTAGCTTTAATCATTATGTGAAATGTATTTTATTACTGTTAACTTTAAGGTCAGTCTTTCTAAATTAAAAAAGACCCAATACATTTCACTCTAATATAGACATACAACGCATACCTCTAACCAACTCCCTCCGCCATATTGCATTCTTAATTATATTTCTCCTACTAGAAGCTGACGTCTCACCAAGAAATATTCTCAGTGATGTCAAATATGTCTTTGCTTAAGCAGATGACTTCGGAACGGTGCGCAACGAACACATCGAAATAAGTACCGTCTCAGCACTTCGATACACAACTCGAATCACGGCCGGGAATTTAGCGTAAATTGGAGTATATTTTATGAGCCTCAAAAATGTTGTGCTGGAATTAACTTAAGGACAAAATTAAGCTTATTTATTACCCTATATTATGTTAAAGGCTTCGTAAATGTCCCATTTTGAGTTGTTGCCATAGAATTGATAGGTCCGCTCGTTATCTGTCACTGCCAAACTCCGCCTTATTTGTGTAACTTTTTGTTTTATATCTTATCTAGTATTAAGAGTTAATAAATGTATATTTCTATGTAACTAGTCTGGATCACAGTATAGAATTGGTTACGATTTAAGATTTTTTATCAATTACACTTTGGTTTATGATTTGATTTATGAATCTCACTTAAAGAGTAAGCAGAAGCGTTATTATAGCCGTATTACGTAATAATATGCATATAAAAAACTATATATACTCTATTGAAAAGATCGGTGAATTTTACTTGATGTAAGCATTGACTTGATAATGACAGAGTCAGATGCCTATTATTCGAATTGACTATTATTAAAAAGTCTGAACCGACCCGAGTTAAATGGATTTCTATCAATGATTACTGGGTAACTGTCGATTTGCTTCAATTTCTCAAAACCGAATCGTTTGCATTTTGTATTAAGAAAATACATAAACAGCCAAAACTTACCAGAAAAGATACAGGTGTGTGTACAAAGTTTCCAACGATACCTAGTACATTCGACTATCAAACGACCAGGACGAGTAATTTGCAAGACAAGTTTCATGAAATCGGTTGTAAGAACTCCTTGAAATGCCGCAATAGTGGGAATAAGAAAAAAGAAATGTAAAAGATAAGAAGAGAATGAAAACAAATGTAGAAAGATAAATGGAATGCAGAAAGATAAAAATATGATCCCCGATTATGGTTCCTTCATTCATTCATTTACTTTTTTTGTGCACAAAAAAACATTTACAAATTATACATGAGACGAATGGTGTGTACAACGGCGAACTTAACCCATGTTGAGTTCTCTTCCAGCTATATCTATCTATTTATGAGCTAAGAGATTCTATCAGTTGATTTAACTAACTTTTGAACAGTTTTTGTAAAATTTACTTTATATTCATAGGCATTTGTTAACTTTATATGTATAATTTTTATCCAAATTTTCAAAAATTTATTTCTACATTGATCATTTACTGTTTTAATTTCCTATCTGTAAGTCAGCTGTATTTGTTTTAAATTATAATGTAGTTCATCATGTTTGTTAGAATAATGTCCGCTTCTCCATGGATATGACTTTATTCAAATGAAATAAATATCCAATATGTTCCTGAACCCTTTGGCGCTGTAAAAATATCAAGCTTTTATTTCTAATAAATCAAAGTAAAAGAAATGATGAAATAAAACATATTGATGTCGATCAAAATAAATTGGCTGCTTCATGTCTCAGGTTATATCAAGAAAAGGGAAAATCATAATATATATTTGTAATTATGTAGGGATGTAAGAAATGTTCTCCTGTTACAATCACAAACTTTGCGTACTATAATGTTGTGTTGATTAATTGATTGATTGGCAACTTTGAAAAAATATATAAATTTCGATATACTCATATTCTCAAAACTGAGACAATTTTTTATATTCCCGTTACTAATATTCCCGTTAACCCCTCCAGCCAAACTAACTTGCTTGCATTAGGAGTGGCTTCACGTCGGCAGTGTACTGGTCAGGATTCGAACCCACGACCTCTTGATGGCTAGTCCAATGCCTTAGCCACTAGGCTACCGTCGCTTTAGTTTAGTTTACTGTTTAGTTTATTCGGAACCCATAGAGAATGAGTTCTTTTTGTCTTTATTCGATGAGCGCGATGAACAAAATTAATTTCAAACCACATAAAGTGTTAAGCAGAAGACCTCTCGAGAGACTACTACATCAATTTCTTTAAAAAAATATACCCCATTGGTCGAATATGTAATCGCCAAATGCAAATCATAATTCTGATTTTACAAGTATTTACACTGCACTAAACGTATTTTTTGTAAATATAGATGATGTTATCAACATAAATTATTTCGCTTAGTCGCACAATCAAATAACTTAATATTGTGTGTTAATTGTCGGCCAGTGTTCCTTTAATATTTTTAATTTAATTTATGATGTCGTCAAATTAATATTACAAGTGAATGATTAGCAATATCAAGACAAATATTTTATACAAAACTGTATCGTACCTATCATTTCGAAGTTTACTAAAAAGTCACGGATTTGACTTGATAGTCAGCATCACTATTGTCTTCCTTTTCACTATTCTTTAATGATACGTTTTATCATCTAATCAGGTGTAAATACTCTATAATTACATAATTAAATACTCATAGAAAGATAAAAAATGCAAGCATATACTGCTTAAAAATAAATATTTGTTTTCATTAAAAAATAAGTTAAAATTACAAATCCTTTTTTTTAATTACTAACATGAGTTAGAGCGCAGGCTAAACGAAGTGACTGGTGACTCCCGCTCAGGTTCGGTCCTGATGCTGAGGTTGGCCATGGATTATTCAACGTAGGAACGCAGGAACGTAGGAACCCCTTTACCACGGGAGCGACCAGGGGTTATTCATATTTATAAGTAATTTTAATTGAAAAAAGAAACAAAATTGCTAATACATGATTCAAAAACCAAATTACATTTAATACCAACGTGTATAGGTGAAAATGCATAAGAGAGATCAAAATTTCTATAGAATGATTTCACTTACGAGTATAACATTCCATTATTTCCCCGGGGGAGCATAAGACTGATATCACATAACATACGAAGAGTACGAGGTATATACATGAGAGTTGCCGTTGGGTTAAAAAAATTGGATACATTTTTTACCTGGTCGATAAAAAAATACTATAAATTTCATTTTTCATTTCATTGGGCATTCTGGTGGTCTTATTTAGGTAAAAGAAATTAAAAAGCATAAGTTTATTACTGACATAATCTAACGAAAATATATTAATTTCCCATAAGGTGCAAATCACATTGTGAGATACTAAGTAGAGTCAGATGCATCTTTCATTAATTACAACCAGGATATATTCAGTCTTAACAGTCAAAACCCGACTCAGGACAGTTATATTTGATCTCACATATTTTAGTCTCGCAACACAGTTAACTGGCAAACCGACCATATTTTCTTAAAATAATAATGTTATCTATGGTAACAAAAACTTACCTGGTATGCACAGCAAATCCAGTGAATCATCAGTGAGATTATAAACTGTGCAATTAGTGGGCGGGTCCGGTCTCGTCGCCGGGAGTAGGGTATAAACACACGGTGTAACTTGCTGCCCAGCTAAATTCATTGCCCTACATGACAAGCTGCCATAGTCCACATCAGAAACGGGCGTGTAGGTTAGGAGTGACTTGCCTTGTTTTGCATCCACTGTAAAGCGATCCTGTAAAAATTGTAAAATGTTACGATAAACGCTGTTGATATCTGTTAAGTTAAAGCATATTTAAAGGTTAACCCCTCAGGAGAACTGACACATCTGTCTTGAAAGATGCAGTAGGGAGGTTAGAGCGAGAAAATAAGATGACAGATGGCCTCCCTACAAAAAAAGATAGAAAAACTCCGCCGTGGGGATCCCAAGCCTCACTTAAAAATTCCAGCGGGATTCGGAGAGGACCAGCGACTCAGCCCGAACCAAGCCAAGTTCCGGACGGAGACAAATACGTGGCCACACTAGACCGTGTATTGCCCGAGGTTCAGACAAAGATGTTAAGAGAGCAGTCCCCAGGAAGGGATACCTTGACCAACCACAACCAGTATGCGGCGACAAAAACAAGAAGAAGGGGAGAAGGAAGGGGAGACAGCGGGTTATCCAGGAGCTACCAGTACCGCTTCCCCCTGTGACAATGCTCTTTCGGCCAAAAGCCAAGGCCTAGGTCTCCCCTACCGACGGGGCGGAGGGTGGCTACTGCCACCAGAGAGTGGGGACCTCTGGTGGCAGATTTATTGCTGCTGTAGGGGATAGGATGGCAGCTTGATCGCACTAAAATGTGATCAGGCCGCAACATCTGGATAAGCTGATAGGCAGGGAGAAGCCACTGTCTTTCCCTGAGATAGGGTCTAGTTAGGTGGACCTGATATCACATGGCCCGGGTCCTCCCCAGAGAAGAGCGCCTAAGTTTGGGCGTCTGGGTGGTTTTTAGTGGAAACACCACATACTCCTGGCTCCTATATTACCAAGGAGCCGGAGATCCGAAGAAATTTTCCACCCCGTCAAAAAAAAAAGACCCGTGAATGACGTTGGCTTCTATATGAAAAAAAAAGTGTCCAATTTTAATGTTATTACATGGCCAAGCATTTCAGGTCATTCTCTAGTCAATCTAGCTTTCATAGTACAAGCTCTACTTAGTTTGAAACTAGATGGCGTTGTGTGTTAGTTGTCCGAAAATATTACTATAAAAAAAACAATATCTTTAAAATTGTAATATACAAAAACAGATTACAAAATTCCTGGATTTATTAACCTTACAAAGCAAAATAAACACACGTTATAAAATACAAAATTGTAAATAATTTATTACGTTAGCAGAAGAATTTATCAAAAATATTATATTACTACAGCGTGTCGCGTTTACACTAATTTCTCAAGAGAATCTCAAGATTTCCCAGAGAGAGGTGCTGGATTAAAATTTACTCAAGCCAATTTTGCAAGTAAAAACATTTTATCAATATTATTGAATTATATCTGGCGGCCAAGTGGTAGAAACATTTAAACTTTTATAATATTATACACGGAAGTGTGTTCATGTATCTTTTGAATAGTAAGATTATCGCTTTTCACACAACAACACTTTAGAAAAGTATTTTCTTGTTTTTTTTATTTACTATGAAAATGTATTAATCCAGCACACTAATTATGTAATAAATTTACCACATAATTAGTGTGCTGGGTTTTTTCTTTTAGAATCAGTGCAATGTCTGGGCATATCGCCGGTATAAATAAAAAGGCTCGCCTTCCCTTGACGTGACTAAATTAGAACCGTCGAATTGCGGCTGGTGGGAATGTAGATATTCCATTTCCTGCTTAGGAGATATAGGGTTATAGAGACGTTATTGGCTTGGCTGCAAATTAGAATCCACAAGGTTATAATTGGATAGAAAGATCTTTTATATTAAATAATGATAAATTTTGAGAGGTTACTCTGAAAATTTATGTTTGCTGATAAGTTACAAAGACTACATTGCATTATTTATGTATCACGCAAGTTAAATAAGTACTCTTCTTGTAAGAATAGAATAGAATAAAATAGAATATTATTTATTTCATAAAGCACAGAATACAAAAATAAAACAAAATTAAAAAACAACATATACAAAGAACATTTAGAATTTAGTGATTTAACCCCATTATGTTCTTTTGTATGACATCAAGATAATAAATAGGTAATATATAAAAAAGGATTATATTTTATAATCCTGTTTTAATTATAAACACAGCAAATTCGTTCGCATCGTCATTGTGTAGTAGTAGTATCAATAGTGTTTTACTCACTAAGATGTTATTACTTATACTTAGAATCATGAGAGTGTAGCATCTAAAATGTAAGCACCTAGTAAATTATAATTTAGATATAAGAGAAAAGTTAGTAGTTTCTTGTTTTGCGGTTCCTCTTACTTGAGCGTAGTTCTAAGTAAAAGTTATAACGTTTTAGTGAGTAAAACACTGACGTTATCCACATGACAAACTTTATTCCAACGAAACATTTTTTTTGTTGATGGAGTAGAAAATCCCATTGGATCTCCTCGGGGACTCAGGAGCCAGGAGTATATGATGATTGCACTAAAAACCGCGCCGACAGCCGGCCTTACTTGCTCTGGGAGGACCCGGACCATGTTTTTTCAGGGCTTCTCTGAATTCCCGCCCCCCAACCGCCGCGTGGCGGCCCCAAGCCCCGGCTTAATGTATTTAGGCCGTCATCCTATTCCCTACGGCAGCAATCAATCAGCCACTCTCCAGCGGCTCGCGGCCCCGTCGATGGCTGGTATCGTCGCTGACGTCCTCTACGCTCGGGATCTCTGCGGATCCCGTTCAGCGATCTCTTTCTGGAGCATTACAGCTTTACAGAAAGAGACCACTGCGCCCCATCCCTCCTCACCTGCTAGTATGGCAATGATTGCTGGCTGGGATATGTCTCGTCCGATTTGTTCGACGAGGGCTTCACGTTCAGATGCCCAAACGGGGCAATATTCTGGCTATGCATAGTTAGGATATTTTGTTCTTTAAACAATATTTTTATGGTTAAATTATTTTGCATATTTACCAGTGTCGTTTGTTTTAGAAAAAAATAACTTAATTCCAAAGACAAATTAACGTATTTTTGTCAATTGGATACACAAAGAGTTTCCAATATGAAGGTATACTTGCATAGACAATATGGACGCATGAATCTCAAAATAAATGTTAACTTGGACCTTATTTGTAATGGTTTTGGGGTATAAATAAATATAATAAATTCTTTGGTATCGCACTTTTAAAAGTGTATCGTCTTTAAAATTTATAAAGCATGGACGTCTGATTGAAAAAAAACCACCTGAGCATTGCAGAATAAAGATCGATCTATTTTAAACCATTTACTCTTTTGATATTGAATCTGCTTGATAAGAAGCTCTGCTGTTTGAATAAGATTACATACAGACTATATAGTGTAAAATAAAATCTTATTCTTGAAACATTTCTGTATCGCAGATTGTGGGAAGTGAAGCAGTTTTCCTTTCATACCTTAATCCAAGTAACTAGTACACAAAAACTGTTTAAAAATACTTATTTAATAAACAGATCATTCTGTAAGTTACGTCACGTTTAAATATAAATAAAGCATTCAAATTAGGGTTTTCTTTCATTGCATATCGTTTTAAAATGAAAAGGGCTTTTCTAGTAAATGAAAGTTCGCTTTCTAGGCTTCGACCGAAGCGAGACGATGGCACTTCACCGCAACTAATCTTAGGTTATTTTTATATGAATCGTCTAGAAATATACGTCTAAATGACGCTAGTTGTTAATTAAAGAATTATAAAATACCAAATTACTATCTACAGGTTACTCTCTTTTTAAACTTTTTGGATTCAAATAACAGATATTCGACACGATCATTAAATTTCAATCTTTTTCAATTTCAATAGATTTCTATTGGTCATTAGATTTCAATAGTTTTTTTTTTATATAACAAACGAGTTCAAACGAGTTAATAAGCTTGATGGCAAGTTACTAATATTTTCACATTTTAAATAACCCTTTTAATGCGTTTTATCCATGCGAAAGGGTGTCTGTCTGTCTATCTGTCTTTCTGTCTTCGATTTAGATGATTTACTTCGAGCCCTGGGAAAGGACATACGATAGTTTTTATCCCAGGCAGCATCTTTTAAGGGGTGGGGGGGAGGGAAGGAAGGGAAGGGAATAGTTAGTAGAATATATTTATTGTAATTCGCCGGTCATTGAGAGAGGAGTATGCTCTTTTCTAGAAAGTTTGGACGTCATATCGATTCCGAAATACCCCAAGCGACAATTTGTTTGACAGATTAGTTGCACAAGGCAAAAGTTAGAGAGAGTGCCAATTAGTCAAGTGATGGTGGATAGACGTCTATTCGTATGGAACGGTAGCGGACAACTTTCGTCGGTAAAATATTACATAATTCGGATATGAAATGAAATGATAAATATGAAATGGAATCTACTAGTTAATAGTTTAATCTGGCAAATAGTTAAACTAGAACAAGAAACCAACAAGTTCAAATCTGTCTCATTCACAACAATTATTCATGATAGAATCTGTCTAATCGCATCGAATGGTACATAAGAGGACACGAGCACAATTATTCAAGCCAGCCGTGTATATTAATGGACCCGCATCTTAGACCATTTATCTCAAATCTAAATTGATATGTCGATATTATGGTTGTCATCGTGCGTAATTAGACTATTAGTAAGCCTTTTATTTTGAAATGGAAAAAGATGCAGTTGTTGAAATCGATTACAAATTTTAAGATTTTGTATAGTTTTGAATTCGATACGATCATTAGATCTCAAATGTAAATTAAGTTTTCAGTGGCTTGCACTACTTAAAACTCAATAATTGAAGTACTGTCACTATCTCTCTTTTATCTTCTCTTAAAAAAGACAACTCCCGCATTAGGAACATATCCTGTGTCGCAGGGGACTTTACAAACATACATGAAATGGACACAAAGAACACCCAAACTCAGAACAACAATTTGTGTATCACACAAAGTGTCGTCCCATGTAGGGTTTGAACCCACAACACTCGACGTAGTAGGAAGCGGCGTGGTGACCGCTTAAACCACTACGCCATCCGCTCAAGCATATGTATTCAATAACCGAGGTGATTTGAATAGTTCAAACAAAGTTGCTACTGACTACCAGTTAGTACTGACCCATTAATTAGTTATAGTTTCCCTTACATTCCAGAAGTCATATTTATATTAGCGTGATTGAACAAAAGTAAACTTTCCCTAAAAATATTATAGTTCTTGGAAAAATATTATGTTACTAAATTTTACCCGCGGCTTCACCCGCGTGTATGTTGGTTATCGCTATGAAAAGTAGCCTATGTTTCTTTCTCAAGAAACAAACTATCTTTTTACCAAATTTCATTTGTATCGGTTTAGCGGATATTGATTCTCCATACAGACTTCCACCTCCATTTTCACCCACTTAAAGGTTGATTTAGTTGATAAATACTAAACAAAATTTTATCTAAATCGAGGTGACAGACAGACAGATAGACACACTTTCGCATTTATAATATTAGTATGGATAATGAATGTATATTAAGCCAATGCAAGTATAAGCCAGCATTGCGACAGTTTAGTTTTTTTCAGAATAAAGTGTGCAAAAATATTTATACTTACTGGATCGACTTTGATAGAACCCGCAGAGTTATTTAGTGTCCATTCAAATGTTTCCGGAGGTGGATAAGCTTCTACTTCGCAAGTCACCGTCGTAGGTTCTTGTAGAGCAGCACCCATGATTTTTATCTCTTTATTCTTGCATAGTGGTCTGTCTGTGTAAAAATAAAATTAATTTGGTAAATTCCCTTTAGATCTCTATACAACTATACCTTATACGTGTGCAATGGGAAATGTACAAATAAATACCCAAAAGGAGTATTTTATATGGTAAAACATGATTGTTAAAAACTTTGCAGTCAGCAAACATCCAAAAGTGTTAACACACTTAAAACCACTGCTGAGAGACATTAGTTTAGATTTCCCTATTAAACGTTTTTACCGCAGTAAATGCAAATGTGAACGCAAGTGAAATCAGGGGTGAAAACTGACGGTTTAATAATAACTGTTTATATTCTAATTTTATATTTAAACATTATAAATATTTCAATGAATTAGAATAAATTACATCTTCAAATACCGACACCAATGAAATAATAAATGCATTAACTGAAAACACTTCGAAATGTTGAATAATGTGTTATGAGAATATCGCACTTAATTTCAATAATCTTTATTGACAGGGCTTTTCGTATACCAGGCGCTTCGATTGTTACATGAAAGTCCTGTCAAAGAGAAAATTTGTTATTTAATTTCCATATTTTTGAAGGAAAAATTTCATATGGTGTCCTACCAAATTGATCTGAGCTGGTAGAGCTAATCCAGTCTTAATCATGTTTCAAATCTGGCATTTATTTGTGCTGGGTGGGAATCGAACCCACGACCTATAGCTTAGCAGTTAGGATTACTAACCATTACTATGTACATAGTTAATGTAAATAAGTGTCCATAATTATGAAAAACGTTTTTTTTAATGATAAGCGATAAAAAAAAATTGGGCAAAACGAGTTCTTGAGTGGAGACCGCGTCTCACTAAACGTAGTATAGGACGCCTACAGGCCAGGTGAAGTGACGATTTGCGCAAGATGGCTGGGAGGAGCTGGATGAGAGAAGCCCAAAATCGATCTAAGTGGAGTGCAATGGGAGAGGCCTATGTCCAGAATGGACTGCGATAGGCTGATGATGATTAAAAATATACATCTACTATCTAACACCGTAAATAATGATTAGTATAGCTATATTACATAACTATATTATATATAATTATTATACTCTGTTTAGGCACATTATATAAGTTACAGCTATAAAGTTGTTTACTAGAATAATAAGCGCTAGACGATTTTTGTAGCGGTAAGCGCATGCGCATTTATTAGAGAACTCATAGGCTGTTGTTCATAAAAGCTTTTTAACTTTTCATTTGTGAAGAAAACTTTATTTCTGATCACATAGTACATTATATTGTCCATATCCATGTACAACCAACATGGCTGTAACCTTCCTAAGAACCTTAACAATAAAGCTTCGACTGATGTTGGTCATAACAATAAAAGGTTTTACTTTTGCTCTCCCAGGGCAACAAGAATAAAAACAATAAAAATAAAGTAAACAGGTCTCTAGAATCGTTGGAAAGAGACATCGAATGAGCACTTTAGTACTATTACGTTTGTGGTGAACGGCAGAAAGGGCCTATGTCACAAGAAAACATAAACTAAGGTAATAGAGGTGGAACTAATAAAAAAACAACAATTTCTATGGAACGTGTAAAACTTTACTCTCAGTTGGTTATATTGTCGGTATGTAATATTGTAGTACATACACTAATAGTGTTGTGTAATAAACGTAGTCCTAAAATACTATTGCTAATACTAATATCATTCTACGCATTTGTGTATTGTTTATGTAATATTTTTATCAAAATAAAGTCTTTTATCAAAATAGTCTGTTCGTCATGGACTTAGTGATCTTGACTACTGAGAGTTTGTGAGTTCAATTCCCATATGCAACAAATAATTGAATCAATGTTTATGTATATCATAATATATGTTTTATGTACTTATTTATTATATCTTTCAAATAACATACTCTTATTGATTTCTAATTCACTTAAAGTTTTACTCAAATAAAGAATAAATTATGGAATGGAACCCATGACCTCTGGCCTAGCAGTCGGGTTTGCTAATGACTAGACTAATGGGCCCATTACAAAAAGGGCTTTATTGTAATATCTATTGAGCTAACATCATCATGACATAAACAGCCTGTAACAGTCCACTGCTGGATGTAGGCCTCTCCTTAGAAAGGAAGTTTTGGCGTACTATAACCACGCTAACTAGACGGGTTGGTATAGGGTTTGTGGGGTGCTGGGCTAGAAAACCTCCTCGTGGTGCACCCTGGAAACGCTGGCGATGGTACTGTTTCCTCCTTGTCCTCTTGGAGGAGAGGATTATCGCCAGCGGCCAATATTCTAGCAGAAGAGGCAGCCGTTCATCGGCTCTCGGGCAAGGCCTGGTCCAGCAGGGTGGGCGTGTCTGCCGGTTGCCCTGCTGGCTCTTCGCTCTTCGGAGCATGGAGGAGGAAACCTCGGTAAAAAACCTGATGGCGGGGCCCTGTAGGGGCCACAGTTTCTCCGCTGATAGCGGTGGAGAAAGGAGGACGGGCTCGGCGTGTACTCACACTACCACCGAGCAGGCAGGGGGACGTAGTCTCCCTGTCAACCGTCGGCATATCGCAATCCCGAGAAGAGCGCTGTGGTTAAGTCTCGCGGCTCTGATCGGGGGCGAGGGTCTTGGCTTAACCGCCCGGACCGCGAGGAAGATAACCTCTCTAAAAAATTCCCCGAATCCCGTGTTCTGGTGCGTGGCCAGGGGATGCATGGCTGATGGGAAGTTCAGTCTCGAGCGCACTCCAAGCCGAGGTACCTGCGGACCCCTCGGTTGGGTTAAAAACTTACGCTTGCCCGGGTAATGGGGGATCTCTGCCCGGGTGGACCTCTAGTTCTCCCCCACTCGTGGGATTTACTATGGATAATTTTCAAAAACCAAAAAATTCCCCGCCCTTGTCGCTAAGAGACAAGGGCACTGGATATGTTGCCGTCGAGTGGGGGGGGATCACCATATATGGTGTATATTTCTCCCCCAACCGGAGTTTGAACGACTTCGAGGTTTTCCTAACCAGCTTGGAGACCTCGATACGGCGACTAGCGTCTGGGCACGTCCTTGTGCTGGGGGACTTCAACGCAAAGTCCATTGCGTGGGGTTCCCCCAGGACGGACGCCAGGGGCGAGGCCGTAGAGGAGTGGGCGGCCTGGGTGGGCCTCTGTCTTCTAAACAGAGGCTCCACCAACACGTGCGTGCGACAGCAGGGGGGGTCGATAGTGGACCTCTCGTTCGCTACCCCTGCCCTCGCCGCACGAGTAAGGAACTGGCGTGGCTGTATATCCGATTTGAGCTCTCCCGGACCCAGGACTCCAGTAGGGGTCACGTGGCGCGGCGTTTATCCCGCTTTCCGCGGTGGGCTGTTGCCAGGCTGAACCGGGACCTACTAGAGGAGGCAGCCATAATTCACTCGTGGCTGTCTCCTCAGGCTCCGACCGAGGAGGTCGACGTGGGGGCTGGCCGCTTTCGCGATGCGATTACGCATGTATGCGATGCGGCCATGCCCCGCGTTCGAGGTCGTCGGCCTCCAAGGAAGGAGGTCTACTGGTGGTCCCAGGAGCTGGCGGACCTCCGTGCGGCCTGTACACGTGCCCGGAGGTCCTACACGCGCAGTCGGCGGCGTCACCGTGGAGACGGTGAGGAGGACCGGCTTCATGAGGAGTACCGACGGGCGCGGAAAACTCTGAAGCTGGCCATTAGCCGCGCCAAAGAAGAAAAAAGACAGGAGATGCTGGAGGGTCTTAATCGTGACCCCTGGGGTCGCCCTTACCGCGCGGTGCGACAAAAGCTCCGCGCGTCGGGCCCCCCCCTTACGGAGACTCTCCAGCCCAGCTTCCTGCGAGAAGTGGTTGAGGGCCTTTTCCCACAACGGGCGGAACACACTCCCCCGTCGATGGCCTCCCTGGCCGGAGACGACGGGGAGCACGGGGAGGACAATGTTCCGCCCGTCCGGGAATCGGAGGTAGGGGCGGCTGTTCTACGGATCCGTTCCAAGAACACCGCCCCTGGGCCAGACGGGGTACCGGCCCGAGTGCTGGCCCTGGCCCTCAACCACATGGCAGACCGCCTCGGGGAGGTGTTCGACGCTAGCTTGGCGTCGGGACGCTTCCCTGAGTGCTGGAAGAGCGGGAAGCTGGTCCTATTGAGGAAGCCGGGACGGCCTGCCGATTCGGTCGCGGCCTATAGGCCCATCGTGCTGCTGGACGAGGCGGGCAAATTGTTTGAGAGGGTTCTTTCTGCCCGCATCGTCCGGCACCTCTGCGAGGTGGGCCCCGATCTGTCGGACGCCCAATTTGGTTTTCGGGCGGGGCGTTCGACGGTCGACGCCATGTTGCGCCTGAGGGCCGTGACCGAAGAGGCCGTGAGCTGTGGCGGCGTGCTGTTGGCGGTGTCATTGGACATCGCCAACGCATTCAATAGTCTGCCATTCAGCTGCATCAGGGAAGCACTCCACTATCATGGGGTGCCAAAGTACCTGAGGCGGCTGGTGGCAGACTATTTAGAGGAGCGTACCGTCGTGTACGAGGACCGAGAAGGTAATCTGAGGTGTCGGCCCATGTCGTGCGGTGTTCCACAGGGGTCTGTTCTTGGACCCCTCTTGTGGAACATAGGGTACGACTGGGCCCTTCGCGCCGATTTCCCCCCCGGGCTGGGTGTAATCTGTTACGCAGACGATACCCTCGTGACAGCCCGGGGGGCAAACTTCCAAGAGGCGGCGCGCCTGGCCACAGGGGGAGTCTCCCTGGTGGTCGGGCGCATTGAGGCGCTGGGCTTACGGGTGGCCCTAGATAAGACGGAGGCCCTGTTATTCCATGGGCCCCGTCGTGGTCCACCCCCTGGCGCCTCAATCGTGGTCAACTCGGTCCTCGTACCGGTTCGGGCCCAGATGAAATATCTGGGCCTGATCCTCGACGGGAGGTGGCTCTTCGACGAGCACTTCCGACAGCTTGCTCCAAAGCTGGTCGGCGCTGCGTCTGCCCTAGGGCGACTCTTGCCCAATATGGGTGGACCCAGCGTCGCGACAAGACGGCTGTACACGGGGGTTGTCCGGTCAATGGCACTGTACGGTGCACCGGTGTGGGCGGCGGCTCTGACCGCCCAGAATAGGGTACGCCTCTGGCGCCCTCAGAGGGTAATGGCGGTCAGAGCCATACGCGGTTACCGCACCGTTTCGACGGAGGTGGCATGCGCATTGGCCGGAACGCCCCCGTGGGATTTGGAGGCGGAAGTGCTCGCCGAAGTTTATCGGCGAGTGGCTGACTTCCGGGCGGAGAGCGGATTTCGCCCTCCGCCCGAGGATGTGCGCGAGTGGCGCGAAGCCGCTCGCCGAGCCACGATGGCTCGTTGGTCGTTCCGGCTGGAGACTCCACGCGCTGGCTTCGCCGCCGTGGAGGCTCTCCAGCCGGTCATCGCCGAGTGGGCAGGGCGGCAGCACGGGACCCTTTCCTTCCGACTGACGCAGGTGCTTTCCGGGCACGGTTGCTTCGGAAAGTACCTGCACACGGTCGCTAGGAGGGAACTGAGTCCCGCCTGCCACCACTGCGACTGCAGTGAGGACTCGGCCCAGCACACGCTGGCGGTCTGCCCCGCATGGGCGGCGCAGCGCCGGGCCCTCACTGCAGTCATCGGAGTGGATCTCTCGCTACCGGCCGTAGTACGCTCCATGGCCGGTAGCGACAGTTGTTTTACCGCGGTCGCAACCTTCTGCGAGGTAGTAATCTCGCGGAAGGAGGCGGCGGAGAGGGCCCGGGAGGACGACCTCCACTCGGACCCGATCCGCCGCCGGCGAACCGGGCGGCGGAGGCCCGCCTACCACAGCCTCATGCCGCCCTGAGTGTGGCCGCGGGTGGACGGGGTGGGTTTCCCCTCCACCCGCATTAGTTGGCCAGCCGCGAGGGGGCGGCGTCCGCGTGTGCCGGACGTCGCCTAAAGAGAGGAACATCTACATTGAGACGGAGCCCGCACCAGGAGCGGGCTGGCGCTAGGAGGGGTCCGGATGTCTTAACAACAGCTGTTCCCGGATCCCTCCTGTTACAGGCGCAGAGTGGCACACCGTGTGGTTTTAGTCGGTCCGAGTCCGACACACCACCCCGCCGCAAACCCCGGAGGGGTGACGGTCCGAGGGGATTTCCACACGTTAAAAAAAAAAAAAAAAAAAAAAAAAAAAAAAAAAAAAAAAAAAAAAAAAGGGTTTGTGTCAAGTTTTCCTTCTCGTTGCAGTGCTGTTGTCCTGCGTAGTTTGCTTAATTGGCTCTTGCAACACCGAAGGGATGAATAGGGGTGATGACACTCCGTATCTTTAGGCACAGACTAAATATTATTTGTCTAAAATAATTAACGAAGCACTTAACCAGCCTTTCTCCCTTCAAGTGAAGAGGGACCGTTAAAGCAATTATACTAAGTCATCTTTCCCTTCTAAATATCTGTCACTCGTCTTTAATCGACTGCTCGAAAGGTTAATTTGCCACTCGCTTACTTTATATTCATTCATCGCACATTTCCAAGGTACTTAAATTTATTAAACTGGTGCATTTAATAATTTTATTCGATATTTCGTTTAATAGATAGGTAGCTCGCCTCTGAAATACTCCGCTTGATAGACTAAGGCCCGTATTTTAAAAGACGTCTCTAGTGTTGGTTGAACTCTGATTGCCTGAAACTAGTTTTAAGTTCAGATCAAATCTTAAGTATCGATCTTATTATAGAACGCGTTTTGAGTTTTACTCAGTTGAAACTAGTTTCAAGTATTGATTTGAACTTACAGTCTGTTCTCAATTACGTTTCCGCATGATTGACATTTTTATTCCGCATTACGCAGCTAATTGTTATAAAATATTTTTCTTTTACAAACATAATTTCTGTGTATTTGTATATAATATACTTTTGGCTAGTGTAGCAATGTTAACATTTTAATAAGTTTGTTGTACGTTCAAAATGAAATATAATAAATATTAAAATAAAAATGACTAGCTGTATGAATAGGCTATAACGGAACGTTCAAGTTATTTATCAACACTTGTCATGTTGAAATGTCAAACAATGTTTTTATTTGATATTTCTGAAATTTATATTACTATGCTTTTAACATAAACCAAAAGATTGTGCTAATTTAAACTGGTATTGTGTGTGTAAAATGTGAATTTCGGTGAATTTCATATCAATTAAGGTAAATTAAAGTGAAATTGATTATAGTATGACAAGTTATTCTTTCGTTAATAAAGTAAAGTAAATCTTTCGTAATTATTCAAAAACAAATCATCGTAAAACACATTCATTTCCCCTAAATGCCTTAGAAATCACCGCTTGAGACTAGTTTCAGCTTGTCTCACGTAAACAAAGATCACAGCTGTCCAAATCTATACCTGAGTAATGATTTCGACATAAACATCGTTCCAAAATAAGCTATCACTCAATTGAGAATGGATCGGTGAATCTCGTTTTAAGTGACGTTCAATAATAAAATCTCTACTTAAAATTAGTTTTAAGACTAGATTCACGACTGAGACACCTTTTAAAATACGGGCCTTAATGCAATACTTTTAAAAGGCGACTACTTATCTTATAGATCTTGGATCTTATAGAATTTAAAATCAATAAAATGAGATCGCCTTTTTTAAAACATTTTCAAACACTGCAAAAGTTTACCAATACATAAACAAGTTCATTTTAATATTTTAAAAGAACAATTTTTTAATGAATCAATGAAATCACCAATGGAACAGCCTGTATACCCTCGTGCTATCTCTAAGAACGGGTTGTGTACATCACGCGCTAACAATACTTACTTATATATAACTTGCCATATGAATTAGTTAATAGTGTAACCGACAAAAATATTAAAGGAATATGTCCTTAACCTAATGTAGCTATTGTTATTTGATATTTTTTTATTATTGTAATGTTTTATAATAATTAATATATCATATAGTGGACAAATGCTAGTTTGTAACTACCCTCATTGTTTTAAAGTGTAAACTGTCCACAGCTCAAACATAAACCTATGTGGTTTCTACACAAGCTGCCGTTTTATAAAATTTCTCTGTCAAGTTGTTTTATGTGAAAAATAAAAAAAAACCATTCTGTATGTGTAACACTGACATAATTAAATGGTGGTGTTGTAAATTAAACCTATAAGTTTTTATTAATTACAAATTATTACGTTACTAAGTCTGTATTCAAGTGAATTTGGATAAAATAAAGTGTAAATCCGCTTTACCATTTACCAACAAAAGTCCTAATTGATAATGTCAAGAATTTATTAAAAAAAGACCTGAAACACGACTGAAACATCCGAACAGTGGTCTTTAATTCAAATTTAGAATGTCAGCTAAATGATATTGGCACTTCACCGTCATTTTTCTTTTTATGTGCAATGGTCCACGTTAACAAATAGAGAAATCGTCAAAAGAGCAGAAACAGAACATTCTCGCAGGTGTTTTATTTTACTTAAGTATCTGCAACTTACTCCTCTAGTTGTTTTATATGGGATTCTCTGAACACAACGTAATAAAGTACACTTAACCCACTTTTCTCCAACACCCTTAGCTCAATATTTACTGTGTAAATGCAACGGGAGACAACTGGTTCTGTATTCTTATTCAATTGACTATCGAAATTGAAGTTAAGAAAATACATTGTATTATAGTATTCACTTATTTTATGTGAATAATAATATAGTATAATAATAAAAAAGAGTCCAGTTCTTTTGGCAGATATCCATTTTTTTTCCTTTAGTAGCAATTGATAAGCTTTATTTCAAATTCATTCAAGCCAATAAACAATTGGCATCAGTTTTTTTCCGATCCCTTATGAATACATTAAAATTATACAGGACCACAAACAAAAATTTTTGAGGTTAGGAGAAACTGCTGACGTGATACAGCAAATCAGGTTATTGATTTGGATTCAGCGACACACAAACATATGTATAATTGATACTTGATCTGGTCGAAGAAACCTTTTATTGATTTTTGTTTGTGGTCCAATTATATTGTTATCATTAATGAATACCGGTCAGATACCGGTATTACTATATGCTTCTGCACCGAAATATTTACTTTTAACCATGGTGTCAAAATATCATACGATATACTCACAAATTTTGAAACCAAATTACTTTTTAAACCTTTTTATAACATAAATTCTACTGCAAGCAATTAGTAGCAGTTTTTACCTAATATATCAACAGTATGTTAAAATATATGAAATATAACTAAGCACATCTATAGTTTTTGTTATAATATGGTATTCTAGGATATTCATATGTTATGTAACAAAATACTAAAATTAAATGTTATGTGAATGTATAAAATGATAGTATTAAGACTTTCAGTGTCGCGTGTTTTACGTCTATTTTAAATAACCCTCACACAATTACAACATATACATATAACATTTTCTTAAGGTTCTGAACTTCACTTAACTGTACCCTTACTAACCTTAGGTAATATTTAAAGTCATAAAGTTTCTACCTTAAACACAAATGTGTCTTTGTAATATTCGTTCTAAGTATTAACCCATGCTTAAATGACAGCGTTGAGTTTAAATGTTGCGCTTTTCGAGATGATTACTTTCTCGTACATTCGAACACATGAGCTCACGTTTAAATGCGACAGCGTGACATTATAATTAAAACATTCAACCGTCGAATTAAATATCCGTAATTTATTTTTATTAATGCATGATGCAAACAATGCATACATTGACATTTTGTTACTCATATTTCACTCAGTTTATTAAAAGATATCATAAATAATTGACTCAATTTTTTATAGCAATAAAATCTGTTTATTTATTTTTTACTTCCATTTTAATTAATGCAAAACTCGAACTGAACTGATTCCTAGCGCAATTAAGGAAATTTAGACTTTCTCAGTGAAAACGCACACCTTAACGCATATTTACTAAGCAATGTGTTCTACTTACAGACAACTTGCATATGCAAATACGGTGACTTGCCGTCCCCCTCGACATTTGAAGCCGTGCACGTGTACTGGCCTGCCTGGTGTCGCGACACGTTCCGAAGAGCCAGGTTCGTGTTACCCGTCACTATAACACCGTTGGATGGGTTGTGTTGCAGGAGAATTCCCTGTGGGTTATTTATAAGGTTTTATTTACACGAAAGGAACATTTAAATAGATAGTGTTAGTATTCGAAAATATATTTTAGAAACGTGACAAGAATTTACAGTACGACTCGGTACTTTGTTTAAGTGTTTATCACTGTGAATGTGGGGTTTTAGGTAAAAAAACATGAATTATACATTTTTACGATGTGCTTTTTAAGATAAAAAATAAGAATAGATATCCATATATTATTATGATTTTGACTATATGATTGAAATCGAGTTAATAATCGAATAATCGTTTTTTTTTAATTCCAGATAATTGTTGTCTCTGTATTCTACTACAGATCTTTTTGTATTGTCAACGACATCGACCTTGCTTACTGTACTTAGAATCAATTTATAGATTCAGCCTTTTTCAGAATTCTGTTTTGTAAATTAATAATGGTCACTTTGTTTTTACTTATTATTTTTTTCATGACTTATACCAACGAATTTCTTATACTAATAGGTTATTTCAAAAACATAAATTTAAAACATGATATATATTCTACACAACTGCGTAATTTATAAAGCACGATCAATGTTATAGAAACCTGTTTCTTATGCCTGAGGATATCTGAAACTTGAAAAGAAAATTGAGAAAACTCAATTTGTGAACTTTTCCATAATATCTTTTTGGGAATCGTAACTTCTGTCACGGACAGTTAATCTTGCTACTTCTTCCATAATTTATTTTTCTAAGTTTCATCAATGTTATTATTAAGTTTTCTCTATCAGAATACTAAAGTTAATATGTATTATGGTATGGGAATACTTACTACAACATATTAAAAGTAATTAATAAGAAAAAGACGGGCCTGTTAAACTGACCTGTTGGGCTCGTGATTGTAGTATTGTATTGAGTTAGCGATCCTCACTGTTGAAGATAAGGTTAATGGTGAACCCATTCTCACCCATGACAAATATTCTAATGAGAACGATCATTTTGTTCAGCAATCTGGGTGTGATTTATTTATAGAATTATTGGGCCATAGTATTAAATAGTTCTTATATTGTGTAGTTAGGTCGTGAACAATCGAGAGTCGTATGGTATCAAGTAAGGCACAACGAACACTACGCGTTGTAATAATGATCAATAATTCCGATACTTGCTGCGCCATCTAGTGTCGAATATCGGAAGATAATAGCTCATAGAAATCTGTAGATTCATTAATATATGTATGTGGGCCTGTCTGGAACGTTCAATCAGATCCTAGGGATTACTCTAGTAATTTTGGTAGCCCTATAAAAGCGGAGCGTGTTGGCCGCATGACACAGTATTGTTTTACGAGACAGCGGATAAACATCGGAGCGATCTTCGAGTGCGACCAAGGAGTTTTTCAGATAATTATTGTTTATAATACAGTGCTAATTTTGGTAATGAAACGACTACTTTTATTTATTGCATACTCGGCTTGTAATAGTATGTATATATTTAGAAATATATAAGTATGTTCATTATTAGCATAATTGTTTTTTTTTTATTGGTATAGATATGATGTGCTCTGTTGACACCAATAGACTTGCTTTCTATCTATCACATAAGTAAGACTAAAAGAGTTAGTAAAATATGGTCCTGTGATAAGCATCTGATCCCTTCGAAGATAAATACGGGAGTATTTATAAGAAGAAAAATATACAATCAAGTGCAATGATCCAGGTCACCATAAAGATACGAACTTGTTCCTAGTATTTTATAGCCGGCTTTCTCCAACGTAAAATTCGAGACTCATCGTAGTGTGATAGTTTCAGACCAACTAGTTTTAGTGTTTTGCATTGACCTCCACCATTTACTATTGCTATGAAAAATCTGATTTATTGTTCGAGTACGAACAATGTTGGCTTCAATTATGAATATTGATAAGAACTATAAGAACTTAATTTACATATATTTCTATTTGACAAAATAAAAGCTTGAACACACAGTAAATTCGTTATTTTATTTACGAAAGTCCTTTTTTAATTTGTCATTTTTATTTATATCTTTATTGTTTACGGTTAACACATAAGACATTACAACTTTAGAACAAGAAAAAGGTTTTGGTACTATCATTTGTGAGGAATTGATTATTGTTGACTATTGTTGATGATTATAATATTGTCTATAAAAAAAATACTATTAAAAGTAAGTTATTTTACTAACTAATTACTAGCTGGCATTTTTTGTTTCGAATTTTTCAGGTATCTTTTTGTGACCGGTATCTTTTCTCTCGAGTATATTTTAATCCATACTAACTTTTAAATGTGAAAATGAGGTCGTTTATTTGTTTCTTACGCTTTCACGCCTAAACTACTAGATCGATTTTCGAAATTCTTTCACCATAAAGGCTAATTTTTACCGATAACCAACATACACGCAAGCGGAGCCACGGGCAAAAGTAAGTAAGTGAAATAAAGCAAAAGGTAGATGTAACTGAGTAAGATTAATTTAAACATTAACAAGAAAAGAAGTCGCCGTGCCATACATCTCACTTTTTACGTATTAGTAACATTTATTTATTAGGACACAATGTCTTACCTGAGACTATTTATTGCTTTCATTTCAAATATTAAAGATTAAAGCTATCACAAAAGCCATCCAGTTTAAAAAAAGGAAGTTCAAAAAAAAGGATTATTGTGTTTCAATAGCTTAAATTCAGATACGTCACATCATTAACCACAATCTCGTTTTATCGTGTTTTTAATCCGGGAATGTGTCATGTGGGATGCGGGTTGTAATTGGAAATGATATTTTCAGATCCCTACCGATTGTTCGTCGTTTGATGAATTTTTCAAAAGATAATTTTCTAAATCCCCTGTATTAAAAGCTTTGATAGCCTTGTAAAAGGAAATGTACACAATCTGTTACGTCATTTGCGTTTTGTTAATGGCATTTGCTTATTTCAAACTTGACATCTGTATAAGACCTCATTTGTATTATATTAAATTTGGTATATTGTATCAATTGAAATCGGAAGAAGATGATACATCTGTTTGATGTGTAGCATCTTTCCTCTCAGTTCCCTGCAACCTGAGGGGTTATTCCGTGAACAGAGACGAAGGCGAGGAAGAGGAATACTGTGTGTATTTAATTGAGTAATGAGCACGCTGTGCTAGAGATTTCAGATGTTAAACATCACATATGTATGTGACTATATATAGGTATGTATACTCGTTTAATGTTTCTTTTAAAAAAAGATGACTACATTGTGACGACATTCTGTATCGCCGGAGACTTTAGAAACTTTAGACATACATGAAATGGACAAAAAGAACACCGAGCCTCAGAACTACAATTTGTGGATCACACAGTGTTGTCAAAAAAATGTAGGAACAAAAAATAAAAAAGTAATTACTTATTTTCGTATTTATTCATGCAGTTGTTTAGTGAATGTGACGCATTTATTTTCTTTAATTTAGGATATGACGCTTATAACAAATAACTTTAGTATCAATTAAGTCACCGCAACTTTCCAGTGTCATTGAAAATTCTAGAAAACGACCGTGCGACTCCAAAATAAGTAGTGCCTATGTTATAGTAATCAGACTGCTGATAAACATACTTATATATTTATAAACACAAACATGTTATAGATAAATTACACCCAGACAGAGAAAAAAATATCGTGTTCTTCACATAATCATTTGTTCCGGGTGGAAATCGAACTCTGGCTTGGCAGTCAGGATCGCCAACTACTAGACAAATAGACTAGAGTATTTTGATGTATAGTTATAGAGACGACACTCAGTCTTGTTCACAGATTTGAAACAACAGCTATTTGCTCAACTTTACTTATGGCTTTACGTCACTCGACAAACTTGTTCTTCGTTCACTTGTTTCTTGTTCTAGTGTCTTGGGGGACATGTAGGATCGCATAAGGTTATTGCCTAAAGTAAATCGAAATCAAAATTTATTTCGAACGGTTTCAACATTGACCGGTGGCACATATTTTAGGTAGTAACACTAAACTATCAGTAGTGTTTCAGGTAGTAACACTATCTATTGAAATTGTGTATTAGACTAAAACAAGCCCTTACGTATTCAATACACATAATAAAGATAAAGAAGTAATTAGATCAACAGAACTGTTCCTGTGGTGACGAATTAAGAATATTGATTGTCACCACCCTAATTCATCCCGTGGGTATCGTGAGAGCCGACTAAGGGAGACAAATTATGCAGGACAACCAAACTGCAAAGAGAATTAAAACTTGACGCATACCCTTTTTTTTTTTTTTTTTTTTTTTAACGTGTGGAAATCCCCTCGGACCGTCACCCCACCGGGGTTTGTGGCGGGTTTGTGTGTCGGACTCGGACCGACTAAAACCACACGGTGTGCCACTCTGCGCCTGTAATAGGAGGGATCCGGGAACAGCTGTTATTAAGACATCCGGACCCCTCCTAGCGCCGGCCCGCTCCTGTTGATGGCTCCGTCTCAAAAAAATTCCTCTCTTTTTATTATATACTTTTATACTCTCTTTTTATATATCTTTATATATCTTTTTCTTTTTATACGCATACCCTAAACCAACCCGTCTGGCCAGCACGGTATAGTAGGCCAAAACCTCCTTTCTAAGGAGAGGCCTATGTCCAGCAGTGGACTTTTAGAGGCTGTTGATGAAGAGTAATAGAAAAATTTGCTACCTCCGCTACATCAGCTTATAAATAATAATTTGTATCACCCATATTTAATAGTCTCGACACAGGTTTTAACTAATATAGCTGTTATGGAACATTTTTAAATTATAAATTGTTTTCTTGTTCCAAATAAAGATTATTATTATATCCCTCCGTGAAGTTCTGTGACCTTCTAAAAAGCACAATCCACGGTAGTATAATTACACTACGAATACTTTAAAGTAAAAAAGAAAGCAATGTGGGAAAAATATCATACAATACATAAATAAAGACATTAAGCGTATTGTAACACGCAATATTAATGCCACAAGTACAATATTGTTACGTTTTATAAACAACTATAGAGTGTAACGTTAGCCATAGCACCTCGACATTATTAGAAAAATATGTAAATCGACGGAATAACACTATTTCAAAATAAACCAGTATGTTTTTAATTATTAGATTTATTTTTTGCCCTGTTATTTGATTCTTGAGATTTACATTTTTAATAATTAATTGGGATTGTTGATTTATAAGTGTGTTTGTGTGTGTAGGTTAGTATTATTGTTAAACCTTTACCTCGATAATTAGACACATAAATTATATTTATAAAGTAGATACGTCATAATCTGAATTAAAATATACCTAACATACTCAGAGCACATGAAATGTAGCAATATTTTAAATCAATACCAAATGTACATCAATAGATATATTTAAAGCTAAAGCTTTATAAGGATATATCAAATAGGAGGGAGCTAAAAGTGTAATATTCCTATTCAATAAATATCACTAGTGGTTATGACAAAAAAAATAGTAATCTCAATAAAGCATCAAGAAATTCAAGACATTAATTCCAAACACGTAAGGAAATTCAAAGGAAAATATCAAGGATTTATAACTTACATTATGCTCCCATACAACTTTGTAGGCAGGCGGATTGGCATCAACTTTACAACCGAAGTAAACGTCATCACCCTCTTCAATGTCATTCGGGTTCATCTTGGCTCCGAGGTGAATTGTTGATTCTGGCATATCTGTAGACAAAACCCAATTTATTTTCATATCTGTACGAACCATCGGCCTTTATAGTTTTATATTGTTTGCATTGATACTCAATTTTTTAGAAACGAAATCTATATAAATAAAAGTTAAATGGTGTATGTTGTAGCATCTCTGAAAAATTCGGTTGAAAAGAGCCCATAAGATTTTGGACAACGAATGTAATTTTCCAACAAAAATCGGTAATTGGAAGTGTCTGTTTCTGACATTCCTGTGTTATTTAATGTATGTCGAATTGTATATGTTATAATTATATTACAATCTTTGTCAAGTTAGCAATTTTACCTATTTAAATTGTTGTTGGTTTGTATATGTTTCAAAAACATAATAAATTCTGACCTCAAATTTTCACACGAAATACAAGCCGCTTCAAAGATTGTTTTTATTTAATTTTCGTGTCAGTTTTGTTAATTTTTCTAATCAATGTAACAAATGTAAGCATGGCAGGGTACAGCTAGTACTAATAATATAATGGTTTCTTTGTTTACTATGACTGTGGTGTTAATTATTTAAATCTATAACACTATAATACGAGTATATATAATTTACTATCTGAAAATAAAATTCAAGAAAAGCACACAAAGTATCATATCGAAAATAAATTAATTAGATGATTATTTTATTATCAATCATGAGCGATAAATCATATGAGTTGGAGATTGTCCAGTACCAATAATGTTGTCATCCAACTATTATTATACTGACGGGTGATACCTCGAAGTGTTGGATCGATAACTGTTCTACATGTGTGTGAAAAAAGACGGCTTGTGTCGTGAAACTTTCCCTGTTAGAATTGCTAAGTTATATTGTATCCTTCATAAGAATATTTACACAAAGAATTCATACAAAATTACTTTTCACTTAAAGTATGATATTCAAAGTTATGTGTCTTAGTATTTAAGTAGGTATCAGATGCCCCCGGCGGACTCACCGTCCGCCTACCGGCCCATAGTGTTGCTTGACGAGGTGTGCAAGCTCTTTGAAAGAGTGATTGCAAGGCGCCTCGTCAAGCATCTCGTGATGGTTGGGCCGGATCTGGCGGACAACCAGTACGGTTTCCGTCAGGGGCGCTCCACCGTGGATGCGATCATGCGCGTGAAGGCTCTGGCGGAGGAAGCAGTCTCCCGGGGCGAAGTGGTGTTGGCGGTGTCCTTGGACATCGCCAACGCGTTCAACACTATGCCCTGGAGCTGCATCAGGGAGGCGCTCGTGTATCACGAAGTGCCTCTCTACCTCCGCCGCATAGTCGGGGCATATTTGTCGGAGAGAGCCGTCGTCTACCCCAGTAGGACCGGTCTCGGTAGGCGTGAAATGTCGTGCGGTGTTCCGCAGGGGTCGGTGTTAGGGCCACTCTTGTGGAACATCGGCTACGACTGGGTGCTTCGTGGTGCCTTCTTGGATGGTGTCGCCGTCGTGTGCTACGCGGACGACACACTCGTGACGGCGCGCGGCAAGACGCACCACGAGGCAACCCTGAGGGCCACGGCCGGGGTTGCCCAAGTCGTTGAGCGTATCCGGCGGCTGGGTCTCGAGGTGGCTCTGCACAAGTCCGAGGCCCTGTTCTTCCACGGGCTTCGGAGGAAGCCGCCTGAGGGATCTAGCCTCACGGTAGGAGGCACTCGCATCGGCATCGAGCCCTCGATCAAGTATCTGGGGCTCGTACTCGATGGCCGATGGGACTTCGGATATCATTTCCGAGGTCTGGTCCCCAAGTTGGTTGGGGCAGCGCGTGCGTTGGCGCGGCTGCTGCCCAACATGAAGGGACCCGATGACTCCTGCCGGAGACTCTACTCGGGGGTTGTGCGGTCCATGGCCCTTTACGGGTGCCCAGTATGGGCGGGGGCCCTGAAGGCCAGCAACGTCGCGATACTGCGGCGACCGCAGCGAATGCTGGCCATCAGGATCATAAGGGGGTACCGCACGATCTCCTTTGAGGCGGCGAGTCTCCTGGCCGGAACTCCACCGTGGGACCTGGAGGCGAGAGCCCTTGCAGCACTGTATCAGTGGCGCAAGGAGGCGCAGGAGTTGGGTCGATGCCCCGAGATTCGAGAAATCGATGACCGGAAATCCCAACTCCGCCAGGTCATCATAGGGGAGTGGAGGGAACGACTCGGGCAACCGAGCGCCGGGCACGCCGTCATTGCGGCGGTAAGACCCGTTATGGAGGATTGGCTCGAGAGGCGTCACGGGACCCTCTCATACCGATTGACGCAGGTGATCACTGGGAAGGGATGTTTCGGAGATCACCTGTGTCTGATCCGCAAGGAGCCAACGCCTGAGTGCCACCACTGCGATGGCCAGACCGTGGACACGGCTCTCCACACGCTGGCAGAGTGCCCGGCGTGGGTTGAGCAGAGGCGAGACCTCGTGGCGGCCATCGGAGTGGGAGTTCTCTCGCTCGATAGCCTGATTGCGGCTATCGTGCGGAGCGAGAGTGCGTGGAACTCTGCCGTCTCCTTCTGCGAGCAAGTTATGCTCGCGAAGGAGACGGCGGAGCGGGACCGGGAGAGGTTTAGAACTCTCCCGGCCCGCCAGGCCCGGGCACGGGCCAGGCAGCGCAGGCGACTCAGGCGCCGGAGGTCGCAGAACGACCTCCGTCCTCCATAAGCGCAGGCCTGGGGGTGACAGGTGAGGCCATCTGTCACCCTAGCAGAAGCAGGCCGGGGTGGCGGCGAGCGCGTTGCGAAGCGCGCTCGCTTCCAGGGAGCACAGGGAACATGGGGTTCCCACACGGGGCGGGGGTCGTCTACTCGTCTGTAGATGACCCGAGGTATGTCGGGGCACCAGGGCCTTCCTTTCTAGGGTATACCTGGTTCCCCGGCTATTAGTACCCGGCGAAGGCGTGCGGTTTTAGTCGGTTCGAGTCCGACATGCCACCGACAGGTGGTATCCGAGGGGATTTCCGCACGGGGAAAAAAAAAAAAAAAAAAAAGGTATCAGATGCCATTGTTAGGTTATGAAGGCCATATTCCCGTTTTTTCATTTAGAAACACAGAACTTTTTTCGTATTGTTCATCGCTATTATGAGTAATCATTAACACGGTTAATTATATTTTTCTTAGTTATAAATCAACGTCTATGAGGTATATTTATTTTACCTCCAGAACACATAAAAGTAATTTTGTGTTGTACAATTGTGTTTCAGCTTAATAAGACAAAAATAAAAAAGACGGGTCTGTTGGTCTAGTGGTTAGTGACCCTGACTGCTAAGCCAGAGGTCGTGGGTCCGATTCCCACCCAGGACAAATATTATCTTATTTATCTTATCTTATTAAAAAAGACAACTCCCGCATTAGGAATATATCCCGTGTCGCGGTGGACTTTACAAACATACATGAAACGAACACAAAAAACACCCAGACTCAGAACAACAATATGTGGATCACACAAAGGGTCGTCCCATGTGGGGTTTGAACCCACGACACTACGCCATCCGTGCAGTCGGTATAAATATAAATAATAAATATTTGTGTGATGAGCACGATCATTTGTTCTGTGTCTGGGTATAATTCCTCTATAATATGTATGTATTTAAATATATATAAGTATGTTTATCAGCAGTCTGGTTACCATAGCACAGGCTCAGCCTAATTTGGAATCAAGCGGCCGTTTGTGAGATGTGTGAGGGTTATTATTGTTATTATTTAAAAATTTGCTAACCTCAAAGAAGGTCTGTTATAACACATTTTACATACCTATAGCCATGAACTGCTCTTTTTAATTTAACACAGTAGATGTTATGAAGTTTGCAACGGCTATTAAGCTATTCTAAATACGCTCATAATGTAGGAAGAACATTATAACTACACTTGTTTGAACTATGTATGTGATGTCTATTAACCTGTTGGAATTGCTCTCATAAATATTCAGAAAGCGGTATAAAACAAACACTGTTAATATAATTTATTCTGTTCGGTGTTTATAGAATATTTCGACATCATGTTGTAATATCTGTGAATACTTATTTTTTATTGAAGCGGTGGTTTTTTATTGGATTATAAAAAAATATAATTAGTTGATTAATTTTAGATATATTTTTTTACGATTTCTGTTATAGCGAGCAATTTTAAGAAGTAAGAAGAAATATTTATATTGAAATGATTTGAAACATCTCTCTTCTTTTATTTATTAGAAATAGACCTTTTTTGAAATGTAATATTTTTTACCACCATTAAAAGCAGGACCATACTAGTAACATACAATAATAAGCAGTAATAGTATCTACCTACTTTGTAAAAACGTATGTTCTAATAGTTATACAATACTATGGCATTTTATTAAAAAAAAAACTATAATTTACTAAAAATCTAATTATACCCACTTATTTACTTTTTGTGAATGTTTTTTTTTAATTCTAGAGGGGGGACACTTCGTAGTTACGTGGTCCGTATCTGACTTACATTACATTGATATTTTTATAAATTTAAAACAGACTTATAAAGACGACATTAAATCTGACTCGATTAAATATTTTGTTTAATTTCTAACAACTTGTTTCATAACTTATTAACAAATTCTAAAAGTCTGTATTTGACACTTTTGATATTTTGAAAATACTACCTAAACATTAATTTTCATTCATTTTCAGCTTCAATTAATGTAAGAATTCAGAAGTTAATTTTAAGTAACTTACTTCAACAAAATATCCAGTTATGAATAATGGACGAGATAATAAAGTATTCAATTTCAAATTGGTAATTTAATTAAATTTCATTGGACTAATTAATGAATATTATTCGCAACGCAATAGATAACACCTGCATTTGGAAGGTTCAATGACAAGTTTGAACAAAACTGACATTAATCGCTTATAATAAATACGTTTTATGGTAACTTTATAGACATTTATACTCAAAGGCAAATTATTCAAATTATTACTTGAGCAACACTTCTTGGAAATATACTTTGAGTAAACCACACCATTCCAAAGTGTCTAAGTAAACATATTTCTAGTTTTTAACCAACTTCAAAAAGGAGGAGGTTATCAATTCTGATGTTAATTTTTTTTTGTACACTCACAATTCAATATATATAGTGTTTAGAAGTTTATTCCGAAATGGGCCCATTTAAATTTCATATAGATCTGATGATGAGTTTCGGAGACAGACAATGACAGCAAAATAATCTCTATTGCTGCTAGGTTTTTTGTGGTTTTTGTCGTTATTGTTTGAAGTTGGTTCAACTTTTTTTTAAACGATTTATTCCGTCTTTAGATATATCAGAAAATATGAAACAGATACAAATACTGTCTGTTACACAAGTTCAAAAGTAAATGAAAAAAAGGTTCTCAGTAATCGGTCCGTAATTGCTTTCCGTGGTAAAGCTCATTAAATTCTAGTGTAATAACGGCTAATAGTCCTAGTAAAAGATACAAAATAAAGCACTCAGTGTTATATGTACTGGAGCCATAGGCCGTTCTTATATATATATATATAGGCGTATGGACTTTGTATGAACAAAAATGAATAAGTGTCATCTTAAATTCTAACGTTGTCGTTGCAAGACCGTTTATCCATTCCAAAACTAGTAGGTCGGTAAAGTTTTACAATACTATTAAAAGTATTGAAATCCTACTACCTACTGTGTATTGTTTAGAATTAATAGATGAGGAGAAAATATAACATTTGTAAAATTCACAGAAATTCTGTAAAAATCGTGTTCTCAGCAAATGGTAGTACCTATATACAATGTTAAGTTCACTAATATAGTTTTAATAGTATTTAAACAATATACTTTAATATGTGAAACCATGTAAATCAAAGGTTTTCACAAATATGTATAGACAGATACTTGTATCGAATCGACTTTCTTACATAGGGCTGGGCGAATAAAAGTTTCAGTACGACAATGTTACTAGTTTTTGCACTAAACATGAAAGTGTATACAGAAAAGTGTGACCATATTTAACAGATTTATTTAACAGATTTAACAGATTGCTGACTGGATGGATGGCGTAGTGGTTTAAGCGGTCGCCACGCCGCTTACTACTACGCTGAGTGTAGTGGATCGGATTTCCACATGGGACGACACTTATCACACACGACTGTGTAATCTACAAATTGTTATTCTGAGTTTGGATGTTCTTTGTGTTCGTTTCATATAGGTTGGTAAAGTTCCCCGCGACACAGGCTATTTTCCTTAAGAACTTAAGTAAATTCCTGATTCAGACAAATAATTTTATTGACAAACTCACAAATTACGGTAATTTTTTATCAATAAGTCGTGTGTTGAAGGGGTAATATTAATCAAACTATGGGTATATGATTCCAAGGATATCGACAGAAAAGGCTTTTTTTGTATATATGAATTGTATTTCATTAATAATAATGATATTGTAAAATTTCAATGTTTTTATGACTATTCGCTTATCTGACAGACATCCTTGGGACTTAAATCATTTTCAAAGGGAACAAATGTAAAAATTTCAGTGAATCCTTACACTACTATAGAATTTAAAAAATACGTGAACAATGAAGAAAAGACTCCTAGTAATATATACATAAAGCCATTACAAACTTGAGACCCTCCGACTCTCTGAGGGGTCTAAGCTTCCGGAATATCGAATACAGCTGCTTAAGCGTAGTTAATTATTAAGGCTCATTGTATCAGGGTAGGTGCCTTGATTGCTGTCGTGTTCACGTTTATAGCCATTATTAATAAAGAACCGATTGGAGCACCCTACATAATTTCGCTCTAATAGTCAAATTAATGTTGTGTTATATGCATGGGACAGAAAGTTACGAACGATCATAAACATTAAGAGTACGTTAGGCAACAAGTAACTTAATGCTTTGGATGGGTAATATGTATGACAAATGTGTGATAAAGTATTAATATCAAACACTAATATTATATTACAGCAATACTCATTTCGTTTGTGATGTAATCACAATTAAACGAGATAAGTTTTATTTAATTTGATATGAAAAAAAAAGTGGTTTGGTTCTGCAAATTTCATAACACTTTTGTTACTTGTTTAGAAACGATGTTGTGTACATTTTAAATTGAAGTATTAATTTCTTTTTAAATTGTAGATCACCTTATAATTTGGTCTAGTCTGTTTTGTAATGAACTTTAATCGAAATGTTCAAGGGAACTGAAATTTTATTATTGGAGCCGATTTATATAAAGTTTAACTTAAAAAAAACAGATTTATTTAATTTCTTGCTTGAGCAACTCATATCATCCCCCTTCTCCGATCAGAAACGAAGATGTCGTTAGTGGCTTGTTACACTTAAAATATTATACTTAGTACAAAATGAAATAAGTTTTAAAATATTTGACTACGGTTAGTATTCATCGTGTAATCCTTTCAGATTATCCAGTGGTCGGTTTCTCGGAGGTTGATTTGCTGATGAGACGCGGGCAAAAAAAACTGTTTGAGACAGTTTTATTTTCGGTGCGTCTCATCAGGCAGTTTTGAGATAGAAGAGAGGGACTTAAACAGAGGATATATTCTCGTTTGTGGAGGAGGTGAAAATTAAGAAATATCTCAATCAATTTATATAACATAAGCAAAACTTAATTTATGAAGATGAACTTCATTATATAACAGAAATCATAAAAATAATGAAGAGATATAGTTACTTTAACCATACAGAAGACAGGCAACTATCGCAGTTCCGTTTTATTTTCTTTAGCGTAATATCATTACAGCTTCACAGGAGCACGGGATTATAGGTGGCGCAGTATTGTGAGTATATATCACACATTAGTTACTTACGTTTAAGGGATACGTCACCTCTTTGCTACTAGCTTTTGTTCGAAGCTTGAGTGATAGATTGGCAATCATATCAAGAAGGCATTCGCAGGGAACTGTATTTCTTTTTCTGTGTTCTTAGTACTTAAAACATAGGGTACCAAGATTTTGTTATATGAGTAACCTATGTTTATTTATATGTGGGCCTTATAATATACACACGTTATTATGTACACATAAAATACATTTTTAGATTCAGTTACGTAGATAAGCATGAAATCACATAATATTTAAAATATCAGTTTTAAGTATTACCTATCTGCTCTTTAAAAAATGTAGATTATAATTATCTCTTGAAATATTAAATTAATCTTACCCGTTAAGTAATTAATTAGCTTATTAATTTATTTCAGTACTAAAATTACATTTCAATGCAACTGATTGAAATATGAATGTATATGTATTGTTACAAAGCGTGACAACAGAAAAATTCATCATCATCATCATTATCATCAGCCTTTAACAGTCCACTGCTGGACATAGGCCTCACCTTAGAAAGGAGGTTTTGGCCTACTTTACCATGCTGGCCAGACGGGTTGGAATAGGGTTTGTTTCAAGTTTTCCTTCTCTCTGCAGTGCTGTTGTCCTGTGTAGTTTGCTCCCTTAGTCGTCTCTTACGACACCCACGAGATGAAAAGGGGTGGTGACACTCCGTATTCTTAATCTGTCACCACACGGACGGATTGATTGTATTGTACATTTATATTAATTTAAAGTAAACAGAAAAATTTGCAGGTACCAATAAACATACTTACAGTATACGTTTAGTTTTAACAAGCTTTCAATACTTGAACGATTAAAGTTAGAATGTTCTGCTCTACACGTCAGAACTTTTTCGTTGTGTTCTTTCATCGGCATCCATTTTAGTAAAGATTCTGTTTCATTCGCGTCCTCTACATCCTGAAAAATAAACCTTTGAAAGTAACGATGTTCGTGAAGCTATTCAATTAATGGTATTATAAAACCGAATGGCTCAAACGAATACTCATTGTAGTGGTAACATTGTCTTTCCATTTAAACGTCTATCAGATGTTTCCAATTTCAAACCAAATTCAAAATTTCAGCAAATAGAATTAAATATGAAAGATGGATTAGAATAGACTTAACGAAATGGAAGGACGTTGAAGTTTATTTCAAAATTATAAAGTTAAATTTTATTTTATAACTATATTTAGATCAACTTTATTTAAAACTAGCTGACTCTACAACTTCGCCTGCGTCACACAAAAGGAAAAAGTTTGACCCCTATTTGCAACATTGTTCATTGATGCTCCTTTTGGTCTTAGCGTGATGTTAAATACCCCATATACTTCCTCGATAACTGAGTTATTTAACACTTAGTATTTTTACCGTTTCTTTAGTAATGGCTTCCAATTTTTTGCCTCCAAGCCACCATGTAATAGTTGCTGGAGGCCTTGCACCTGTCGTTTTACACCACAGCTCCGATTGCCTCCCAACAGACAGCGGCTGCTCTCGTGATATTATCTCTACTGTTAGCGGTTTTACTGGAACAAATGTCACACGTTAGTAATGAATGTCTACACAGAGCATAAAAGTTGAATTACCGTCTAAAAATTCCTGTTTTGAAATAATATCTCAATACTGTATACAAAGAACTACACCAAGGCTGTATGCTAACACCTACACTTTCTTCTGAATATCAATGATATGTTGCAAACTAGTAGCATCCATTGCTATGCAGATGATAGTACGGGAGATAGCTTTTATACCAGCCGCTCCAATATTTCTCGGGAAAACGTCATTGAGAGTCGAAACAAACTTGTGTCTGAAATCGAAACTTCCTTAGCGGAGGCTTCAGTTTGGGGTCGATTGAATCTAGTCCATTTCAACCCCAAGAAACACAGTTTTGCGTGTTCACCGAAGAAAGACAACGTTTGTTGACGCCTCGGTCGGTTTAAGAGCACCTACCTAACTGTTTCAGCAAAATTACTTAACACCGGTTTTCTGTGAGGCTCGGTGTCATTCCGGTCGAGAGTGAGAGAGGCCCAAATGTACCAAAGCAAAGCTCTCCCACTTTTAAAATTATGTTATTATAAAGCATTTTCTTAGAAATAAACACAATAACGGCTGCTTCTTTGAGCTACTGTAATCTCAGTTTCATCTTCACATCCGAACCTTACGAAATCTCTCACCCTATCTCCCTAGCCTTATCCATTTTCCTTATTCTAAGTCAACTTCTTCCTTCGTCTTCTATGGAAATCGTAACATTGCCTAATAAGGATACCATCAGGTAGGCGGTCCACCAAAAAAAAACCCCAGACAAATCCTTCTGCGGTGATGGGCCACACGAAATGAAATTGGAAAACGAAAGACAAAATTTGACGATGATAGATGAAGTAAGAATGATCAGTATAAGCCGTAAACGGTTAGATATATTTTATTGTGATGATTACACAACTTTTACTGAAGGTCTAAACGCTGTTGACATCACACAATAATTATAGAGAGTGCTGTCAATAAGCTAGGTGTAATAAAACAAATAACATTGTGTATTGGCTATCGATCTGTCGATTCTCGTTTATTTTGAAGATATATTTTGTTTTAAGGGATAACTTCTGATATAAAACTTATTTATTTGATTCGCAATGGTCGAGGTTGTTACCTCTTTCGATCAACGATGATTTGTTGCTACGATTATTTTCCAGGCAGTGTTTTGTGCATTTACTCTCTTTGTATCGTGTAGTATAAACTTTTAATACTCTGAATAAGTTTTACAATTTTAGTAAAACTTTAAAATTCATGATAATAGTATGGAATTTAAAATAAATTACGAGATTTAGAGGTAACTCTAAGATATTCCAAGGTGTAACTTGGAGTTAAATTAGCAATTCTAATGTCAATTTGTTTACGTAAACTTTTATTTGCACAAAATCCTTTTACTACGAGACGTTTAATGTTTTCTCGTTTTTTTTTTAATTCAAATCAATTCACTTGCCTGCAAAATTAAAAAATCTATACATCTGGATTCAAATTATGTTTGTGTACTGTGATGACTACACGGTAAGTAACTTTCTGCGCTGGTAATGTAACTGTCTGTACCCTGGGCCAATAAAACCTGGTTGGAACATTATGCCTATCACGTGATTGCGTCGATTCCTGTGCATTTACATTACATTTCATTAAAAGTGAAGGCTTCAAAGTAATTATCTTAGTTATTATCTCTAATAATTATGTCACTTAAAAACTTTAAACCTAACAAATTCGTTATATAGTAGACAACTGTTAATATTACCTAAAGTCTATAGAAAAAGGTTGAACACAGATTTAATAAGTATTTAAATGGATCGAACAAAGCCGAAGTGAATTCACAAATGAGTTCGTGTTGTTATAATTTCGATAAAATCTTTCACGACAAAGTAACTTAGCTGCTAATCAAAAGTTTACCTGAAACTATACGTTCGTTATGCACCTTTCAGTTGGCGTTTCGTCCATGAATATTATTTTACGTCTGATTTATTCTCTGTTGATTTAAATTTTACAACGGCCCGCGTGTCATCTGTTATTCAATGAAAATGAACGAGATAAAGAGAATTAAATCTGAATCAATTAAAACAAAAAAACAGTTCGTCGATAACTGATTTCTATGATTTTTGAAAAGTACGACAGCACTTTGTGTGTACTGTTTATATATTTGGGTTGAAAAGTACGATAGTAATTTGTGTGTAATTAATAATTCATAACCCATTTTAATAACGCGCAACTATGTACTCTTAAAATAATTAACAACGTTAACTTTTTCATTTTAAATTATGTTTTAAAATAAAATGATTTGTTGGTAAGTTTAATAGTATTCGTAAATTGATGGCCAATTCACTGCTCTGTTTAATTTGTTTACATTACATATAATATAGTAGCTTTTATTATATGTTGATTATCACGGTAAAAGGTAATCTATAGTACTCGCTAAAAATGTTGCTGTCCATAGGTAAAATAATGTTTAAAATCGGTTTAGTGGATTAGGCGTGAAAGCGTAAAAATAAACAGACTCACTTTCTCATTTATAATATTAGTATGGTTATACTAACCCCTAGTACCCTGGTACTGGTACCCTAGAAAAGAAATCCATGGTACCTCGACGTACCTCGAGAGGACTCGTCTCTTTGAAACAAAAAAATAAAAAATTGCGAGTGCCCATACAGTCCTGAAATCTGGCCTTGTCGCAAAATCCAATTTTAGCTGATGTCTCCTAATCATAAACTATCTCCTATCTTAATTTCATTTTCATGAAGACACGTAGTTTTTCATTAGTAATTTGTCAGTTTTTATACTTTTATATTCAGAAATACGAATTCATTAATTTTATTTATTATTAATGTCTGAGCTCTGGAATAATAAAGTATAAAAGAAACTAATTAAATTTTATTCAATAACTTTAAATTCGTAATACGCCGAGCTGAATAATGTTAATGTTAGTAGTCAAATAAATTAATGTAATCACAGTTGATTTATAGTTCCAACATCAAGTTAGCAGTTTTTGCAAAATAATCGAATTTATTTATTAATTCAAATTGAAACTGGAATTTATTAATTCAATTTTTTAATCTTTGATTTGTGTTTGTCAAAGTCGAATACAAAGGTGTATTTACACCCTAATGCTGGAAATCATATATTTTGTTTTTCTGTTATCTATCGGGCACGTTTCTATACTCTGAACTGATAACAGTAAAATTCTAAACAAAAAAAGGAAAATCAAAAATCGAAATCAGCACTTTAAGATAAAAAAGATTTCGAAAAACAGTAATGCATTTTGCATGCAAAACAAACAAACAACGTTTTGATTTTGTATTTAGTAGTTTTAAAATCAACATCAAGTTTGTGTTTCTATGCTTGTATATTTAAACAAGCTGTATATCTTCTGAACGTTTTTATCTATGTAACTCAAATGGATATAAATTATCCCAAATTCATATTCTTGTCAGACTTTAAGTCTGATTGACGTTTGACATTGAGAGTTTTTGCTGAATAGTGACTAGAATTTGTAATACAGAGCCAGCAAATAAAGTCTTGCCAGAAAGTCAACGTTTTTGAAAACTTTGCCACAGAAGATTTCACTGTGTAGTCTAAAACGGTCTCTTTGAAAACTTTACCAGAAGTTTTTTCTTTCTTTTTAAAACGAACCTTTGGTCGAGCTGCCTTCGCATAAACAAGAAGAAAAAACATTCACAACTTGTTCGCACGAGTTGTGGCAATTTTTTTCAGTTGAAAGCTCTGTTACTATTTGCAGTGGTTGGTAATTGTATGTTTTTCTCTTTCAACTATTCAGTTGTGGCTACTTTAAATGTATTTAATTATATTTTTTCCCATTAAACAGTGACGGATTAAGAATACGGCATGTCACCACCCCTATTCATCCCGTGGGTGTCGTAAGAGCCGACTAATGGAGCGAACTACGTAGGACAACAACACTGCAAAGAGAAGGAAATCTTGAAACAAACATCAACCCGTCTGGCCAGCGTGGTATAGTAGGCCAAAACCTCCTTTCTAAGGACAAGCCTATACAGTGGACTGTTATAGGCTGTTGATGATGATGAAACAGTAAGCAGTCAGCTAGATATTTGCAGCGCAAAGGTTTGAAAGAAATTGAGAAGTGTTCAACACTTGCAGTATAGACTATCTTTAGTTTCGATCTTCAGGATTCACTGAGTGCGAAAACAGAGGGTTCTAGTGGTCCAAATAATTTCAACACCACATAGAGAGGTTACGAAGGAAGACCACCGCGGATAAAACCATCTCAGCAGATATAAAACCAGGTTAGTATGTATTCTTAGGCTTTGGAGGCTATTGAGTGTATAGAATTAAACTTGAGTTGGTATAGTGGTTGGTATCAGAATATTTAAATTTTTACTCGCCTCAAATGTATACTATATATTCTACCTAAAAGTTTCAAATGAATATATGAGAATAAGGTGAAACTTTGTAACAAAAGGAACAATCCCAACTCCGTCTTCTCATAATTTGACGGCTAATATTTACATAAATTACGAACACTTCATATGTATAGAACATAAAACTTCAGGGAGAAGATCGCACAATATGAATAATACGTTATTTCTATTCCAAATATAATATAGTCTTTCGCCAAAAAAGCAATACAAAGTCACATCCACACAGAATTATGGAAGACTTATGTCACTTCGCACTTTATTTTTTTGCCAAATTTCGTACGAATATCACAATACAGTGAAAAGCTATTGCAAAGGCAAATAGAATTGCTAACTCGACAAGTAAACCAATGAAATGTAACTTGACATCTGAGCTACAGATGGTGAGTAACGGTGAGAATAATGGAAAGGGAGGTGTTACATTTTTATTGGTAAATTTTGAGTTCATGTTATTTTAATAACGTCTGTATTTTACTACAGTTCATATCGTTCAGTCAACATCGCGTCACTTAGACGATTATCAATGAATAGTATCATTTTCTCCTATTATTTTATTACAACAATATTAAAATTGGGTTAAGCTGACTTCAATTTTGAATGGAACCTGCAAAAATCTTACATTAAATTCATTCTTAATATCTGAAAGTTGGGATAAACAAGTTTCATTTAAAAAAAAAAACTGAAGCAATTGATTATTTTCACACAAAGCTGTATTCTGATATAGTCTCAAGTAACTTAATCCTTAAAAAGATAATAATTGGGTATTAACAAGCTGACTAAACTTTTATAAGTGTTATCAACCAGGTTGATAACACTAATAACACTTATATCTTAAAAATTAAAATTGTAAACCTTATAAACCTACCTATTAAGATGACTCATCATAAAAATACTTACAAAATAAGTCAATTTTAACTGTCGTCTTCTGCGGCGAAGACAACAAAGTGTTGTCAGCAGTACAAGTGTACAGAGCTGACAAATGGGCCCTTGTAGCATTTCTTATTACTAAAGCTAGAGACCTCGTTGGTGCCATAACTTCACCGGCACTCAATGTTGCTAACACAGTTTCTCCTTGCAGCCACTGTATTCTAGGTATAGGGTAACCTAAAACAAAATAAGTTTATTTATTTACACAATAAAAAGACAATTAAGATTAATGATAAGCTTATTTTCGTTTGACAAAAAAAAAACATCATTACAATAAAAATAAATATAAAAATTAGATACTGAATGGAGAATTTACTCTGTTTATAGATAACAGTGAAGGAGCGATTTTTTAGTCGATTGCAGATCCTTAGAATATATCTCAAAAATGTTGATTGACATCAAAGAGTCTTGGGAAGATAAAACGTTCAAAGGAAGCAAAAAAAAGATACATTTCAATCAATTTCGAACGAGTGGATGTGATTTTGGTAAGATATTTGAAGTGATTGTTTATTCTCGTTTCCGTTTCCTTGCGATAATATTATATTGTCAGGGAAATTAAATATATGAATGAAATAACATCAGATACAGCATAATTTAATGACGTACATGTTATTTTACTTGTGTTAAAAATCTTATTAAGTTTTGTCTTCACAATACAAACACACTTGTCAGGGTGGGTGGACAAAAGTTCTGGCCATGAGTCCGTGCTTACATACCTCACGATCGTCCTCGTAAGGAGCATTTTAAGAAGTTCTGACCCTTTATCACCAGTTTGATCAGAATCTGTTATACACAGAAAATCTTTAACAACTATCCAACTAAGATTCAAGTTATGCGTCACAAATATAAATACAAAATAATACATACCACCTGTTACGGAGCAAATGAGTTTGAATTCGCCTCCTTCGTGATAGGGGCCAGCAGTACCTGAGATTTCTTTCCCGTACTCATCAAATACGACAGGCTTACTCGGAAGTTCTGTAACAGGAAAAAAGTTTTTCAATAATGTTTCGGCCTGATTAGTTCCGTTGGGAGAAGAATCTGTTTCGTATTGAAGTGTATAGCTATGCGAAATAAATGCTTTTATTTTTATAATTCTTGATATTACGGGTATGAATAAGATATTGAGTTCAGATAGAAATTACAAGAGTATTGGAAACTTTGAACCTCTTTTGAATATATTAGAAATTATAGGAATCAAGGTTGTAGTTCTTAAAGTTTCATTCGTGATACAAATTTTATCTAACCTGGTTATAATTTTCATTGATTGACACTGATTATAATTAGATTATCGATAGTGTAGACTATATACTTCCACCATGAGATTTTCACTTAATTAATATTTGTCCAGACGACATAGATAATAATTATTAGATTCGTTTTTAATTAATAACCAAAACACTGAAAAATAAGTTTTGATAAGTTTGTATTGAGTTTGCGTGAATCAGCTGTTTTCTTTTAGAATATCTTCAGTTGTTTGAGGAAGGAATATCTGTCTTACTTAAAACTTCACTTAATTTTATCAATAATAATATTCGTTACGTAAACTCATATGAAATCGCGATAAACTAAACCAGGCTAAGTCATAAATTTACTAAATATGTAGGTACATACATATTATAATTGTCGGCAAACAACTTGAACATTTGGAAAGTGTGCACATGTGGGGGAAAGTGTGCACATGTACACTTGCGAGCAAAAAAATAGTATCCAAACGTAATTGTATAATTCTCTTTTTTTGTATGTATTATATTTCTTTGACTGCGTAAAAAAACATAGGCATTTAATTAATTCATTTAATATTTAATATAAAATAGTAAACGACTACGAAATTACACTCCAAAGTAACACATTTGTTGTCAATAATTACGATAAACTATTTTTAGTTTAGGATTTTTTGTAGCAGAAAATTGCCTTTTGGTTTTAAAGATACATTTTCTTAATCTGAGAATTTACTCTTGACGTAAGCAAGATATTCCTTTCATTAGCTCCAAACCAGCTTAAGCAAAACTGGTGCCTTTCTACGGTAGGAAGTTTATTGTTAGTTAAATGACAATTATGAACACATCCTAATCACAGATTGGCCGAAGTCTAATATCAATATAAAAAGTATAATATCAATTTCAGTTACTTTTTTCTTCCCAGATCTTTTCTTACCCGGTGTACGGAACACGACAAGTAAGTGGTAGTTTTTAGCTTCGCCTCACAGTACTGATAGATGTTTTTTCAACATTGCCTTGACTTGCCGTCTTTTTTTGAGAAAACAATACACATCGTACACCATTTTTCTGGCTTGTCTCTTCAAAGGACAGGACATACTGTATTTATTTTATAAACAACAAATTTTAATACAAATAAAAACTGAACAATTACAAGAACAGAATCAATGCACTGCGAGGGTCGACTAATCTACCAACGGCACGATCAAAACGACGGTTCCCGCCTTCGCGCCACACAAACACACCACTAAAAAAGACCTAAAATACGTTTCTTTGTTCAAAATATAGTTCAAATTATAGAAATCAAGGTTGTAGTTCTGAAAGATTCATTCGTGATACAAATTTTATCTAACCTGATCGTAATTTTCATTGATTGACTCTGATTATAATTAGATTATCATGATAGTGTAGACTATATACTTCCACCATGAGATTTTCACTTAATTAATATTTGTCCAGACGACATAGATAATAATTATTAGAACTTTACATATAAATTACCCAAAAAAAAGATGATGCTCATTTCACAATTATTTTTTCTGGGCGGGCAACGAACCCACAATCTGTGAATCTGGCTCAGTCATCAGGAGCACTAAAACGAACGGATTGATAGTAACGCCATTTATTTATCTAGTCGTGGACGATAATTTATTTAACGTTATTATCACACGTTTTTCTCTTTTCACAACCATTTTCCTTTTTCCCGGTAATTTGGTATGCTTACGTACCCACGTAAGACCGAATATTCTAGCCTCTAGGGTATTATAATCTTAAATGTGTTGAGACACGTACTAGATCATTTTTTGAGCTTCGTTTACTACTATCGCTAGTATGTGAGTTTAAATAAACTATGGAAAATAAAAAAATCTACATAGTTATTCTACTTATTAGTTATATTGTAATCAATAAGTGATAATGATTATTTAGTTCATAGATTTGATGGCAGGTGGCAACCATACGGCCGCCAGCCCGCCAGGCCCGGGCACGAGCCAAGTACCGCAGGCGGCTCAGATGCCGGAGGTCGCAGAACGACCTCCGTCCTCCCTAAGCGCAGGCCTGGGGTGACAGGTGAGGCCATCTGTCATCTTAGCAGAAGCAGGCCGGGGTGGCGGCGAGACGTGCTGTGGAGCGTGGGTGCCTTTTCGGGAGCACCAAGGGAACATGGGGGTTCCCACACTGGAGGGGGTCATCTACCCGCCCTCGATGGCCCCAGGTACGTCGGGGTACCAGGAATTTCCTTTCTAGGGTACACCTGGTTCCCCGACTACTGGTACCCGAGACGGCGTGCGGTTTTTAGTCGGTTCGAGTCCGACATAGCCACCGGTAGGTTACCACCCAGTGCATTTCCGCACAGAAAAAAATAAAATAAAAAAAGGTGGCTACCATACGAGAGCAACTGCAGAGCATATGGAAATAAACAATATTTTACTGTCGATAATTACAGTTCTTGGCTGTAAATAAATCTGTCATAACTAGTTAACCGTTGAGTTGATGCAGAGAAGTTCAGGTACGTGAGTTTGGAAAAGTCTTTTAAAAATATCTTAAGAAACTACAAGAAAGAGCATGTGGCCTGAGCCTGGGTTTTCTTTATGTCCGTGTCCGTCCAACAATGGCAAAGGTAATGGGAATTGCAATCCGTGATATACTGGTTACTATCTATCGTTTTTAGGGTTCCGCCCCCAAAAGGAAAAAAACGGAACCCTTATAAGATCAATAATTTTTGTCCATCTGTCTGTCTGTATGTCTGTCCGGCTGCCTATCAATCTTGTAAACGCGTTTAGACATCGAGTTGAAATTAAAAGCACATATTTAGGTCTATAGTCGTTTGCAGCTGTGAAAAAAACAAAGTTCTAAGTTAACGTAAAATAAGATACAGCCGTTTATGCCGCAAAAAACTCATATTACGACACTCTCAAGGTAATCAAAATTTAGAAGGTACTTCCCGTTGAACCTAGAACTTTGAAATTTGGCAAGTAATTTCGTCTTATACTACAAATACAGAGAAAGATCTGAAAGCTATTGATTTGTAATTAAATCATAAAAAATGTAGTCTTTATTTAAAGCACACAAAGTAATTATCGAATTTTACTTATAAAATACAATAATATGAGTGATTAATGTTTTGGAAACTGAATTTCGGGAAACGCTCGGAAAAACTGCGAGACTTGTTTCCTGAACAATTCATAATATATGTACCTACAAGTTTACAATTATAATAAAAATTCGGACAGATGCGTTTTACTATTGACAACAGGCACCCAACGCTTTTTTTCAAATTTATTTTCTATTTTTTAGGTTGATTTTCTATAGAAAGCGTGTCTTTTAGTTTTTTAAAACTATATTTTTTTATCATTAGTTCCACTTTACCAAATAATGTTTCCCGAGAGGGAATTATAGCTATTGCTCGATTTTTTGTAATCATGTTACCTATCAGTAATCATTGATTTATCCCAGACTTTAAACTAAATACGCATTTTCAAACTAAATCAATAGCAAAAAACTAATTCAATCAATTCAGTACGAACAAATTTCTATTATGTACTAAAACAATTGCTTTCAGCGTCCATGCTGAAAATTTATTCACAATGAAAATGAAATCAGTTCGCGGTAAATCGCAAAAGGCTCCGAACGGACCGAAATATCCTCAAACTGCGGATCAACAAACTAGGAGAGCGTTCAAGTGTGGTTGAGGAAATGAAAATATTTTGCTTGAGCCGAAACAAAAAGTTTTGAGATGCGAATATTGGGACGGTTCCCAGCAATGATGAGAGGTTTTCATATCCGTACAGTATCGCTTACTGAAATGAACATCTGCTCGTTGTTTTGTTTGTTAGAGACATGTGAATACAAACACAGCGTAATGAAAATTTTTCTAGAGAATTAGATGCAAAGAATGGTAAATATTCATTGGTATGAAAGTAAGCGAAAACATTTTAACCATTCTATTAAAATGAAGCACATTTGAATTGAACTTTATGGACTAGATAATGCTACCATAAAGGTGGTCGAAAGTAAAAAAACTAGCTTTCTGTCTGCAGTACGTCGCAGTTCCATTCAGCTTTGTTCTCGTAAACTTACGGTTTGAAGTGACTTCAAAAAAGGAGAAATTGTATGTCATTTAGTATGTAAATATAGACTCTCCGTAGAAGTTTGTTTCATCATTAAAATGTCAAGAGTTTGAAGTATTTTTGTGTTTGTTGAGAAATTACATATTTTGTTAAAAACCAGCTTGCTTAAAAGAGTTTTGAAATACTTAAATAAAAACGAAAAAATTCCAGAACAGTGTTTTTTTTATATTATTTTCTAAAGTTTATCTTTGTCACATACCTGGTGACCCAACCCAAGGAGAAAATACATTTTAGTGGTAAATGTTATTTATCATTTAGTACATTTTATCCAGTTATTCTGACAAAAATCTGTCAAAATTCTGTTGCACTTCCTCGTTATATTCTATTACACCTTTTTAATTATTTACAAAGCAAATTATTTATTTGTGATGTATTTAATTTTAAAGTTTTAATGATTTAGCGCCCTGCATACTATTAAAAAGAACATCATGTTTTTTTGGTTGTGTCTTGAACTAGCAATAACCGTATTAATTATGGATATATTATTTCATGAAATAGAGACAAGCGAGCAAAAGGGTCTCTTGGCAAGTGACTACTGCTGCCCATGAATGCCTGCAACTCAGGAGGCACAAGCGCTTGTCAAGCTTTGTGGTTAGAGTACGCTCTTTCTTTAAAGGTTAAAAGGCCGTATAGATCTGGCAATACCGCAGGCGATAAATCGTGGGGTGCGTGGTCCGGAACCTCCTTGTGGTGCACCCTGGGCAACGGAGACGGCAGCGCCTCTCTCCCTAGGTGGGGGAGGCGCTGCCGCCTGCGGCCAATTCCGGCCGAGGTGGGAACGGCCCGTCAAGGGCTGTTCGGAGGGCTGCTTTCCGCATGTCCCTCTGTTTGGCAGAGGGCATAGGGGAGAGCGGGCTGGGGGCGGACGGGTCCACTGCCGCTGGCTCTGTCCAGAGGTGGTGGACACTGGTCTGACGCAGACCACCGTCCGGCCATGTCGTAACCCTGACTGGCAACAGTCAGGAATGACGGCTCTTCGAGGGCTACGAGGAAGGCAACCTCTATAAAAAAACCCTGGGGCGGACGGACCCGGTCTGGTGCAGACCCCGTCCGGCCCAGCCGTAATCCTGAATGGACAGGACCGGTGGATCTTCGGATCCGCGAGGACGTAAACCTCTATAAAAAATGCTCTAAGCCCACGTTCTGACGCCTGGCAAGGGGCTGAGTCGCTGGAGGGAGTCCAGTGCCGAAGGCGTCCCCGTCGAAGGACGTTAAACTAAACAACAATGACATGAGGCCAAAGATTATTAAATCTACCCAGGAGGGTCCCGGACACACAGTGTCTGGGGAATCCCTCCC